CACACAAGCTGAAAATTGTTCCACTTTACTGCAGTTCTGTAACCATATGAGAACCAATCCTGTCTGTGTTCTGTGCACATCCAAAATTCCTGCTGAATGACCCGCCCTGGGAGCGAGTTACCAGTGACCCAGGGCTGCGGTGGAAGGAGGGTGCAGGGCTGGGGCAGCAGGGGGGTGCGGGTGGGGGGGGGAGCCCAGGGCTGGGGCGGCAGGGGGGTGTGGGTCGGGGGGGGGAAGAGCTCAGGGTTGGGGCAGCAGGGGGGTGCGGCGAGGAGCCCAGGGCTGGGACAGGGGGCAGCCAAAAATTTTTTTGCTTGGGGTGACAAAACACCTAGAGCCGGCCCTGCTCAGAGGCCCCGCTCCTGTTCTGCCCCTTCTCAGAGACACGCCCCCTTCACTCCATCCCCCCTACTTCTATCGCTTGTTCTCCCCCTCACTCACTCATTTTCACCAGGCTGGGGCAGGGAGTTGGGGTGTGGGCTCTGGGCTGGGGGTGAGGGGTTCAGAGTGTAAGGGGGCTCCGGGCTGAGCCTGGGGCAGTGAGTTGGGATGCAGGAAGGGGTGCGGACTCTGGGAGGGGGTTCAGGGCTGGGGAAGGGGACTGGGGTGCAGGAGGGGTGAGGACGCTGGGAGGGAGTTTGGGTGCAGGAGGTGGCCCTGGGCTGGGGCAGGGTGTTCACGTGTAGGAGGAGGTTTAGGGTGCAGGCTGTGGGGGGGCTCAGGGCTGGGGCAGGGGGTTGGCGTGCCAGAGAGTGTGTGGGGTGCAGGCTCCGGCAGGGCGGCGCTTACCTCGGGCAGCTCCTGGTCGTCAGTGCAGTGAGGCTAAGGCAGGCTCCCTGCCTTCCCCGGCCCCACACCACTGCCGGAAGCTGCCAGCATATCCCTGCGGCCCCTGGTGACGGCAGGGGGCTCCGCGCACTGCCTGCCTGCAGGCACTATCCTGGCAGCTCCCATTGGCTGCAGTTCCTAGGCAATGGGAGCTGCAGAGTTGGTGCTCGGGGTGGGGGCAGCTCGTAGAGCCCCCTTCACTCCCTCCCCGCGATCCTGCCTTAGCCCGATTGCATTGCCCGACTTTTAATGGCCTAAAATCTCCTGAATTGGCTTCAGTAGCCTTTGGGAGATAGAACCCGATTCCGGGAGACTCCCGGTGAAACTGGGAGAGTTGACAACCCTAGTCTAGGCCCATTTTGATTTCCACATGGATCTATGAGCAATATCTGTTAGGTTCCATCTATCTTCTCCTTTTATGACCAGATGGCCCCCACCTACAGGTATCCAGAACTCATACACCCTGTGGTATCTTTGTGCCTTTGGCCCCTCAGGTTGAGGCATCTCTTTTCCTCACTTATTTGTAAAGCTCCATGGCTTTTGGTGATCCCTGTTTGTGGATCAAGAAGCAAAGGTGAAGTGCAAATTTCTAAAGCAAAGACTGGATAGGGTGCTTAGGGAATCCAACCTATGCTTTGGTACACTGACATCAGAGATGGGATGGGACTCTGGGTGATCAAAGATAATACTCTGTCATTGAGTCAGATTTCTATTTATTTCTATTTTTCTGTTTCTAGTAGTGTCTGGAGCTCAGATGAGTGTATGTTCAGAGAGGTTCCTGAATGTGCAGAGTCTTGTGTATCATTAAGAGCAATCACTGGTGGCACTGAGCCTGTGAGAGTCTATTTTTTCTTTACTATAGTTAAGGTTGCAATATGACTTTCATTTTAACCTCCTCAGAAAAAATCCTCTTTTTGGGGGCTGAATCTCTCCATGCTGTCATCCCAAAGCTGAAGGGCTTGGGGGAAGTACAAAGACTTTTTTTCAGCAGTGAGTTATCAGTGCATTTTTTTTAAAGTAAATATTTTCCACTCAAAAAATAACAAAGAAAAGTAAAAAAAAATTGTGCGAACAAAGTATTTCAAAAATAGCTGAACTTCATATATGGCTTGCAAAAACATTCAGTTATATTCTCCTATTGCAACCAGATAGTTATACTGCCAACCAACAGGGAAAGGCAGAGAAGTATATACTAGGAAACTAAACTACATATCAGAGGCCATATTGTGCCATTCCTTTTAAGCAAACTTCCCAATTACAATAAATCAATAAGGAATTCTTTAAAAATGCTGATGTAATTATATTGCTCCAGACTATTTCCTAAACTTTCTCTTGTCTCCCGTCAGCCAAACTTAATTTAACATGGTCTGTACTTCCTTCCTTCTTCTCAATCATATTTGCCCTGGATTAATTTTTAAATTGATAAAGTCAGGATTGAATTTCTCTTTGACTGAATAAATAATTTGTCCAAACGGGATTGATTTGGCCTCATACCTACAAAGAGCTACCTTGATGAGAAAAGGAATTTTTTCAGGGCTCTTACCTTTTCGGAAGAGAACTAGCTTTAGCTCACTAGACCAGATAGATATCTGCCTAGAAATTACGTTATGCTCCCCACTGAGCAATGAGTGGATGATTGCATGCTGGCTTTAGGATTTGTATGCATTGTGGTGGATGATTCAGTGCTGACTGGGAATTTGCATGCTATGCTATGTGCTGGGCTGATGAAAAACAAAGATTGTCTACCCTTCTTCTAAGAATGGGTAGCTGGAATTTAATTTAAAACAGAAAGTCGGTATTTTTTTAGTCTTTGATGTAACTCTAAATAATTCTGGTTTATAATAATTCTGTTCATAGCAGGATTGTAATTTCCTTTCTGTCTTAGCTATAGCTACTTTTTTATTTTAAAAGACAAAATTGTGCGTAAAGCATTTTATGCAATTGGGCACATTTTTAGTAAGTGTGTATATATAAGTCTGCTGATGCCTCCACTTCACCAGTGTTCTGTTATATGGAATTCTGCCCATATGCACTGGATAAAGGTTTGGTGTAAGATGCCTTAAATCTCAAGCCACTGTAGTATGAGCCAAGGTGAATAGGCAAATAGTTTTTTTGCTTTTTAAGTCATATTAACAACACATTTGTTCAAAGGGTGAAACTTACTTGATACTAAGCTCACCTTATGAATAGTCTTCACAGATGCTCTCCTTGTGCTCCTTGAACCCAATTCAGTACTGTTACTCCCATTGTATGCCTGTTTCTTCATGGAAATCAATGGCTTTACATGAGCATAAAACTGGGGTAACATGTTGCTGACTCAGGCCCTTTCTGTCCAATTCAAACTACTTCATTTCCTACACTCTCTCTGGTGGATATCAAGGAATTACTATGTTTAAAAACATTATCCTGCAAGCCCTCCTTTCCTGTGGATGGAACAATTGACTGGAACTTTGGAGACCTTCTGTTCCTGGCTCTGCTACAGATTTCCTTTATGACCTTGGGCAAGCCACTTGATCTCTCTGAACCTTCGTTTCCCCTCTGCTAAATGGGAATGATAATACTTCCTTGTCTTACAGAAGCATTGGGATGATCAATTGTATGGGAGGTGCTATCTGAATGTCATAAAAACAAATAAATCCTGCAGACCTTAACATCTATTTAAATCTCTCACTGAATTCAGTGTCTGACCAGCCACTCTCACTTACCTCTGATACCAGTTAGCTTTCATTTCATCTGCATAGTACTTCAGGAAACATTGAAGTCTTATTCCTTCTGGAGTGCAGTGGACCTTCAGTGGAGAAGCAGATTTACCTGCATAAAATAAAACATATTCCAATTAAAGAACACAGTGTATTGTAGGGCAAAAAGACAAATCGGGCTTTCATAATGCTTGCCCTCTCAACACATGGGTTCACCAACAAGAACTACAATTATAATTAGGAAATAGTTATTATCTTGGTGTAGACTGGCATAGTTTGTTGATTTCAGTGGAGCTACGCTAATTTACACCTGCTCAGGGTCTGGTCCAGTATCATTCTTTTGTTGCTGTTTATTAAGTTTATTACCACTATGATTATTTTAAAAGTAATAAACTATTTGTATAATGATCATTAAATAATATTGATCTGATACTGATTTCACACCTATTTTACACAGATGCCGCTCTATTGGAATCTTGGAGTGACTCCTGAGGTGCATCAGTGTCAGTGGGATCAGAATCAGACTCTCTCTATATTGTATAAATGGTCATTTGTTTACCTGAGCTTAATATGAAGAAAGCTATAAATAATAGCTCTAAGACATTTATAGTAATTAAACAATACTAGCCAAGTGGAATAATTCTTTGTTCCCCTTTAATAATGTTGATTAGCAAAATCAAATCCCTATTTAGAAACTTAATAATGTGCCCATAATAGGATATGCATTGTGATTCCCCGAGATTTCCCGCTTGCCTCAGGCTCTCATGATTTTAATATCAAAATATTACCTGAAAGTCAGAGACAGCATTTACTTACCAATGACCCTGCTCATTGCCAGGATTATATCGTCAAACACTGAGGAGAAGAAAAAAGGAAACATACCAACAAATAGTAAAAATTGTTCAGAATACAGCCTTGCTATATGTAAAGTGATATGGAAAATCACCACATTAGGGGGAAAAAAATTGTTTATGTTGGCAATAAATAATTCTATATTACTCAGATATTTTAACTAACTCTGACACCGTTTTACTGAGCAATGTTTGGGAATACACATTAAATTGGAACAGTCCACCACTATCTCAGTCATTTTTAATGATATATAAAACTCTCTTTTGCTGCCTATGATCTAAGCTGGTATTTTGGACCAGATTCTGCCTCCCTTACTAATGCATATTTTCCTCCAAGAATAGTTAAAATCTACTTGAGGAAGAATGCTTGGCTCAGTCCAAGATTGAAGGAATTTGGTCCAAAGCCTATATAGTTTCTGAGTCCTCTAAAAATAGCAAAAGCTTTGAAATTAAATACAGCACAAGAGTTTCCTGTGTTATCCATTTGCAAGCGAAGATGCTTTGCCATCTTTTGAAGAATTGTTAGTCATGCATTACTTCACTATAACAAATTGAGCTTTACCTTTTCCTGATATATCAAGAGTAGTCACATCCTGACCTCTGTCATCTGACACTGTTGCCTTATATTCACCTTGATTCTTTTTAGACAGCTAGAAATAAAACATGGCACATTTACTGTACAACTGAAATTAGATCTGGAGATATAAGCAAGTACTAGACCATCTTCTATATCAAAAATCTTATTTTGAATTGCTTCAACAATGACTACCAATGAGAAGAAACTCAAGATTAGGCCTGGTAAGTAAGCTCTTTTTATTCTATTCACATGTGCTAAATCACTAATCCTATACTATAATACAAAGTTAGCTCAATTATCTATCAATAGGTTGCTTCTCTCTGATGTTCCATATAAACAAATACATATGGCCTGAGTAGTTTAGTGAGCTCCAAAAGTCAATTAAATCTAAAAAAAAGAGACTAATAATGGGTGACTTCAACTACTGATGTATAAACTAGTCAAATGGGACACGTCATTGGGACGAAGTTTAGAGACACAATTTCTCTTCAAACAAAATGATTGCTTTTAGGAACATTTCGTTCTAGAGCACATAAGAGGCCTCAATATTCAGGGCTTTGGAGCTGTGCTCCGGCTCTGCTCCAGCTCCAGGCAAAAACCTGCAGCTCCACTGCTCCGGAGCTGCTCCACGCTCCACTCCAAAGCCTTGTCAATATTCCTGATTTAGTTCCATTAGCACCCCGTATTTGGTTCAAGAAATTACTGTACCATAGTGTCACTATCCCCAGAGAAGTTACATATTAAAATCTAGTATAGTGACACTACGGTTTAGAAAGGGAGATTTTTTAATATTTTTTTAAATTAGGAAGTTGGTCAAAGTCAAAAGTGGGGAAATCTAAATATTTGGACTTAGCATGGAGGTTACATAATAGAATCATAAGACCTAAACAAAAACAGAAGAAGGAAAACAGGAGGAAAAACACAGTGCATCTAAATGTCAAGGCAAAAGAAGTTACTCAAGCCAAACAGATATCCATCAGGAAATATTAACCCTGCACAACTGAAGTCAAGAGAAAGCACATAAATTATTGCAGATAAACTGTAAGATGGAAGTTAGAAAAGTTAATGGGGACTTTGAAGGGCAAATAACCAAAGATAAAATAAAGTGACAGGAAACGCTTTACAGTCAAAGCAGGAAACGTGCAAGAGATCACTGGGTCTGGTGGACTATTAGGGAGCAGTGGAGGCAATTAAGGAGGATGAGGCCATTACAGAGAAGCGAACATAATCTTTTCACATGAGTCTTCACTATAATGGTTGCTGGGGAGATTCCTACCTGAGACCTATTCATTTCGGGCAGTAAAGATGAGACACTGTCAGAGATTACATGTTTGACCAAATTGATAAATTAAGGAGCAACAAGTCACCAGGACCACATCATATTCATACATGAGTCCTGAAGGAACTGGTTGAGCGGACAATAAAAATGGACAATCTCTTATTAGCACTAGCTGTTATGCCAGTGAACTAGAGTGTAGCTAATGTACCTTCGTTCAAAATGCCCCACAGAAATACTGAGTTGACACTTGGCTTAGGACTCAAGCTGGTAAAATGTTATGCAGAAATTGTCACTGATAATTGGTAGATTACATCATACCCTTGGAATAGTTAGCTGGCACACTCCTTTCTGTAAATCAGGCAACTCTTTAACCTCAAGCCCAGAACCATCCTTGTACCATTTGAAAGATGTCTCCTTCTTAGTGTTTGCCACCTGCACAACAGAAAATGCATATATTATTATATGTTGACAGAAGACAGCTCCATTTAATTGTATTTGCCCTACAAGAGGATACATTTTTCTATTATCTATTGTGTAGATCAGATAAGCAGCGTATGGAACAATTACAATTAAATTGCATTGGGCCAAATCTTGGTCCTAACACATCTATAGCATACAGATTCCATGGCCTGAGTTCCATGGCCTGTCCTGACTCTGGTTACAGAGCACTACAGAATCCTGAAGTGCATTCCAGAGCTGCACCCGTTCCACATGAGCACTAACTTCTACTCTCTGCCTAGGAGGCGGAGTTCAGTACAATTCTTTCGGGCCTATGTACATTATGCGGCCGAGTCTAATCCCCACAAAAGCCCACTTACATTGCTTTGGCAGGGGTCTTAAAGATAGCAGGAGCAGTGCCAAAAGAATTCCCCCAGGCTAGGTTGGCACAGGGGCAACATGTGCAGCCATACATCATCCTGCTATGGTCAGGCTGGGGGGAGTAGCCAGGAATGAGAAGGGGCAGTTATGGGTAGAAGGGGAAGTGGCTGAATCGTTTTGTGCTCTGGTTATTCTGGCTACAAAACTATCCATTGGCAGCTGTGAGGAAGGCTCAGGGGTTAGAGTGACCTTCTTGAGGTAGCAGTGGCCTTTCAGCAGTAACAATGGAGAAAGAGATTACAGCTGTGGTTTCAGCATTGCTTTATGTTTGAAATATAGCTGTGTATCAGGTGACACTTGGCATACTGCTGGATGGGCGAGTTTAAAGTGTGATTTCAAAGAAGCAGCTGAAAGGAGAGTGACCAGAAGCAGAAGTTCAGCAATCTAGAGGTACTGCCAATGTAATTTTTATATTGTTTTATGTCACTTATCAGGCCTCTCAATAAAAGGTTTGTCACTCAGAGTTTTGCAAGCTGCACTGTTTCAGCTTGGTTGCATTCACATACTAAACAAAGACACACCAGTGTCATAAAATTAAAGGCAGGTCTAATAAAAGGATGCTGGGTTTCAGCAGATGTACTCTTATCTAACACGGTTAAGCATTCAAGGAACCTTGAGTTCAGAGCTTAGAAGATAAAATGAAAGAGAAACTGATTTTTCAAATCTATAGTTATAAAATGTACGGCAAGCAAGCTTGTGATTTCTCTTTATTGTGTATTTGTACATCTCTTTCCTGTGCCCCCTGAACAAACAGGACCTACAATTGCAAGCCTGGTTCTTAAAGCGAGTTTTGATTTTTTGTACTAATTGCACAAGTTGTGGGCAATGATTACTGCAATGAATTTCTCTCAAAGTCAATGGCGCAATGCCAGCTTACCCCAGCTGAGCATTTGGCCCACTGTTTGGGAGTTTTCTTGGCTGCCTGCGAGAGTGGTTTATTCACTACATAGTGTCTAATTCATGATCTCAGTGAGTGAATAGGATACAAACAATGTGTGAAATGTAGTAAATTTTTCTTGCATTTTCTTTATTCTTTTGTTAATCACTGGAAAATGTGAACTCCAGTGTAGATGTGAGTGTTGGTTGTTGCTGAGCTACTAATGACAGAAAGTTATTTACTTTATAGTAACTTGAGGTTCTTCGAGATGTGTGGTCCCTATCTGTATTCCACTGTGGGTATGCATGCGCTCCATGGACCCAGAGCCAGAGAATCATTGGTCTGAACATGCATTCTTGCACACTTTGTGCCTCTGACCAAGGAGATAAAGGATAGGACAGACTGACCACCTCTTCAGTTCCTTCTCTATCATGAACCAAAAGACAATCCGAAGCAGGGGGGAAGGAGGGCAGGAGTGGAATACATACGGGAACCACACATCTCAAAGAACTTTTAATTGCTATAAAGTAAGTACTTTCTCTTCTTCTTTGAGTGCTGGTCCCAATGTGTATTCCACTATGGGTGAATGACAAGCAGCACTCAAGTAGGAGGAGAGTATGAGGATGAGGGTGGCACAGCCAAATGAAGGACCACCATAGAATCATAGAATATCAGGGTTAGAAGAGACCTCAGGAGGTCATCTAGTCCAAACCCCTGCTTAAAGCAGGACCAATTCACAACTAAATCATCCCAGCCAGGGCTTTGTCAAGCCGGGCCTTAAAAACCTCCAAGGAAGGAGATTCTACCACCTCCCTAGGTAACGCATTCCAGTGCTTCACCACCCTCCTAGTGAAATAGTGTTTCCTAATATCCAACCTAGACCGCCCCCACTGCAACTTGAGACCATTGCTCCTTGTTCTGTCATCTGCCACCACTGAGAACAGCCGAGCTCCATCCTCTTTGGAACCCCCCTTCAGGTAATGCATCAGCAGAGGAGTCCTGTACCCTGGCACAATGTTTCACAAACGTGTGGATAAAACTCCATGTAACTGCTTTGCAGCTATCAAGTAGAGACACTTTTTGAAGTGATGCCATTGATGTTGCACTCTTGTGGAATGCCCTTACCCCAAGAGAAGGGGGGAAATCAGTCAGCTGATAGCAGAGCAAAATACAGCCCAAGATTCATTTTGAGAAAATATACTCTAACCCCAAACTCTTTCTGCTGTGGTGACAGATAGTCTAGGAGACTTTCTGATTGTTTTTGTTCTCTGCAGATAAAAGGCCAAGGCTGAACATCGAGTCTCTTTTCTTCTGAATATGCATGAGGTTCTAGAAAAAACACAGGTAAGTGAATTTACTGGTGCAGGTGAAATGCAAACTACATTGGGGGTGAACTTAATGAAACTTTGTCCCTATGGAATATAGTAAAGGGGGATCTGCCATCAGGTCTCCAAGCTCACCAATCCTCCTGGCTGAGGTGATCGCTTTAATGGAAAGGAGAGATATGGAGCAAGAAGCTAATGGTTCAAAGGGAGACTTAGCAAGTACCGAAAGAACAAAATTCAAATCCCATCAAGGACCTGGCTTTTTTATTGGCAGAAGGTTTTGATTAGGCCTTTCTGGAATCTGCTATTCAGTGGGTGTGCAAAGATCAAGGTACCCTGTGAAGGTGGATGGCATACACTGATTGTGCCAAGTGGACTCATAAGGAGTTGATGGACAAACCTGCTGTCTTTAAGGAAAGTATATAGACAAAAATAAGAGGCATATCTGCAGCTTCTGGGGGTATATTTGATGCACCCAGATAGAAAAATGCCTCCAGTTGGCTAGGTAACATTTTCTAGTGGAATCTTTTCTACTGTTAGAAAAGATGTTCTGTACAGTTTCAGAGCATGATCATTCTAAGGACAATGCCCATCCAAAAACTAAGCCCTGAAATGAAGCAGACAGTGGTTGGGATGCTTGAATTTGCTGTTTCCCTGCATCAGGAGATAGGAAAATGTCAGAATAATGATCGGTGCTCAAGACAAAATGCATGGGAGGCTCAGAAACCAAAATTGTCTGGGCCAGTTGCGGGCAAGGAGAATGATTCATGTTCTGTCCTGCTGAATCTTTTGAAAGACCCAAGGTAGGAGTGGTAGTGGAAGGAAGGTATCGTTCAAGTGGTCTGAGCATGGAAGAAGTAAAGCATCACCTCTGGAGCAGTATATGCCACACTTCCTGTTCATTTTGGGAGGCAAACAGGTCTCTGGTGGGGGTCCCCCACTAAGTAAAAACATTATTCATCACAGAGTCGTGTAGTTCCCACTTGTGGTCAACAGCAAAATGTTTGCTGAAAGAGTACACTAGGTTTCCTGAGAGGTAGACTGCTGATAGGGTGATCCGATTGTGTGATGTCTGACATTATGAGGGCATGGTGACCTTAAATGAATGGGAGAAAGCCTTCTCAAGCCCTTTGAACTGGTTGCAATTCCAGAATATTGATGTACATCTTGGACTCTTGAAATGTCCAGGTGCTCTGTGCTGTACAGTGTTCATGTGGGCTCCCCAACGCAACAGGGAGGAATCTGTAATGATCATCCTATGTGGTGAGGAGGCACGGAAGGAAATGTCCACACATACCTGGTGGGGATTTTTCCACCATAGCAGGGATATTAGTTTGGCTGGATTAGTCACTATGGTGCTCCTGGACTGCAAATTTGGTAAGTACATTGTTTGAAGCCAGGCTTGCAGGCAACCAAGGTGGAGCTTGGCAAAAAGCATGACCTAAGTGCCTTATGATCCAGGAGAGAGAGAGAAAGACAAATCTTGACAAGTACTAAAGAGTTGCTTATGACCTGGTCTATGAGATCGTTCATTGCCTGAAACCTGTCCATTGACAGGTAAGCCCTTGCTGTGATTGTATTTAAGGACACCCCAATGAAGTGTAAAGTCTCTGTTAGAGTGAGGATGGACTTTTTGGAGTTTGCATGGACCCCTAAAGAGAAGAGAAGCTGCAGCATTGTCAAAGTCGACTCACAGGCTCTTGGTTGTCTTGGCAACAAGAAGCCAAACGTTGAGACAGGAGAAAGCAGTGAAACCCTGGCATCTGATATAGGCTGCTACTACAGAGAACACCTGGGTAAAGACCCTGGGGGCAGCAGCAATTCCAAAAGGGAGTACTCTGTAATGAAAGTGGTGGGTGCACACCATGAATCTGAGAAACCATCCATGGGCGGGGTGGATGTACGCGCCTTTCATAGCGAAAGCTGAAAACCACGTCTTTCTCCAGGGATGGAATTATAGATGCCAATATGATTATCCAAAACTTTGGTCTGAGAATACAATTGTTGAGATGGCAAGGATCGAGAACAGGTCTCCAACTGCTCTTCTTTTTGGTACTAGGAAGTACGTTGAGTGAAAACCCCATACTTGGTACTGAAAAGGAATCCGCTCTATTGCTCCTTGCTGTAAGAGAGATTCTACTTCTTGTTTAAGAATCTTCTCGTGAGAGTAGCCCCCAAAAGGGGGTGGGAAAGGAGATAGGAGGTGGTACATATGTAAACTCTATTGTATAGCCAGAATAGATGACATTCAGAACCCATTTGTCCTTTGTTATTGCACTCCAAGTGTTGAAAAATAGTGCTAGACAAACCCCAAAGGGTGCATGGGGATCAGCAGGTGTTGAACTTAGTGGTTTGCAGCTCTCAATCGCCCATCAAAAACAACACTTAGCTGAGGGTTGGGATTGGGACGAAGAATCTGCTGAGGAAGATGTGGGGCTTTTCAACCCTGTCTCTCTTTTGGGGTGGCTCATAAGGTCTCTGGTGGTAGAATTAAGTCATTGGTCTAGGCTTGTATGATTGCCTATGAATTTTTCTGTTGGGGGCAGGAGTATATATACCCAGGGAGTGGAAGGTGTCTCTGGAATTCTTCAGGGTGTGCAAAGACACATCTGTCTTCTGGTTAAACAGATGAGTCTAATCGAGGGGCAGGTCTTCAGTGGTGTTCTGAACCTCTCTGGAAACACTGAAGCATGAAAGCATGATTCCCTGAACTATATTATAAAGGCAGAAGCCATCACCCTTGGAGATGTATCAGCTGCATCTACCACTGATTGAAAAGCAGTCCTGGCAACCATCTTGCCTTCTTCTATGAGAACCTAGAAATTAACTCCGACCTTCTGGTGATTGCCCTATTGTAAGGGTTTAAAGTGAGTGTAGTGCACTCGATGGCACCTGCTTCCCCCAGTATATATAGATGACATAGCTCAGAGCATGATTTGGATGGGAGAAGGTGTGACTGGATCATGGCACAATTCAGCTATCTCTGGCCAGAGGAATGGTCCTTAGGGTACTGTGCTAGCCAATATATGTTAGAGAAAGCCATGTGGCTGCTCTAATTTGTACCAGAGGGCAGTTCAGCCCCAGGATTGGGAGAATGGCGGTTTAGAGCCACTTTTGCCTCCCCACTTAGTTATGCTGGGCATGAGCTGAAGCTAAAGTCTTATGTGTGTTCACAGATAATTTGTGAACAGGAAAAAAAGCTACTAAATGTGTAAGATAAATTACTCATAATGAATTATTCAATCAACTCTAATTAGAAACCCAAAACCTATTAAAAATGAGTAGTTAAAACTAATACAAAAGTGTCTGCACTGCTCAAAAAGCAGTGAACATCCTGAGTTCGATGCTTCCCAAATTAAATCCTTTTAATTATTCATTCCTCTCATTATGAGTTCTTATAAAAAGTAAAGCAACTAGAATAGTAGAGCCTCCTAGAATAGCATGTAAGGACAATTAATGACAGTAAGAGCTTTCTCAGAACTCTGTATACATTACTTTGAAATTAAGATGTTACTTTTTCAAAACCATTGACTACAAATATGAAAAGTCCTGTTTTGTCATCTAAATTCATACAAGAAATGTTTGTTTGCTAAACTCACTATTAAAAACAAATAATGTTTAAAAATGCATCTTCTACATATTATTGTGAGATTTTATAAAACTGCCTGGAAAATGTTTCCAAATATATTTTCTCACCTTACACACAAGTAAAACCTCACAATCTTCTGTAACTTCCCAGTGTAAATACTCCAGAAAATGAGGACCTGGGAAGCAAAATGAATTTAAAACATGTGTTATGGAATCTACAAGGGAACACTTCTCACTTCATTGTGAGCAGGGGAAAGTAGATGTAGATCCAATAGAAAGTAGATCCAGAAGCCTTGGTCCCAATTGTTCATGAACTACATATTTCCTAAAGGAGAAACCTTTCAATGAGTGTTTGTCTTATTGATGTGGGATAAAGAAGGGGGGGGGGAGAATGTGGAACCCATCTTAGTTTGCAGCTGAGGAGATGTACCATTCCCAAATGCACTACAGCTTACTGAGTGAGACCAATAAAGTCATTAAATTTGATATTACCTGGTTGCCAACTAAACATAGGAAAAAGATAGAATAGGGTTACCAATAAATGTCCAAATGTCCCTGGAGAGGGAATTGGAGAATAAACAAGTGTCTCAAAATTCTCACCCAATTATATGTTGAAAGCAAAAATCCCTGACAAAACATTTTTTTCCAAATTACATTAAATGAAACATATTTAAATTATGTTCTAATATCGCCAAAGAGAAATCTGAACTACTCATGTTCCCCCATAACCTGCTCCAATCCTGCAAATAGGCATGCCCATGAGTAGCTTTCCTGACAGGCACAGTCGCTTTGAAGTCAGTGGGATGACTCATGTGAGTAAAGTTATGCATATGTTTAAGTGTCTGCAAGATCAGGACCTAACAACATAAATTTAATGTCTGATCCTATGAGGAGTTGAGTCCCTACAACTCCCACTGAAGTCAATGAGGGTTGATAGTGCTCAGCTCCTCAGAGGAAAAAATCCTCTGAGCTTGTGCATTGAAGGGAATATTTTGTATCTTCGTTCATAAGACTATAAATAAACCAACACAGAAAATACAAAATTATATTATTTATGCAGATGTACTGGGGAGATCAATAAAAATAGGTAGATTAGCAGGGAGATGACAGGATGAACTAATGGGTTTTTGCCATCTCTAATTTTTGTGATTCTGCTAGCTGGTGTCCTGAGATTAGTACTTATGCAAAGGTACTTATGCAAAGTTTGGAGCAAATAAAATAAGCAATAATTTTTTAAACATTCTAAATAACATACGCTTGATAAATTATAATTATAAATTATAACTAGAATGGAAATATTTTAAAAGAAGGATTTAACAGCTATGTATTCTGAATTAGACATCTAACTAGTATACTACTTTCCTTGAACTGCAAAAATTATTCTTGATTTGAATTGTAATAAAAATTTAGACTGAACTTTATACAAAGAGAATAATAGGTGCATATTTGGGGCCCAGTCCTCTATTCTTTGTTGGAGTTTTGTCTATACAAGGACTACAGGATGAATTTGACATTATACTTTGCATGTGTGAATTCCCCACACACACAGTTTCTGATCAATGATATCAATGGAACTACTTGCATGCTTAAAATTAAGCACATACTGAAATGCTTTGCTGGATCAGACAGAGCCTACAGTAGGATCCCTCACTGGTTAAATCAGAAGATAACTTCTTGTAAGGTCCCCAACTTTACCTACCCTCCACTTGTGTGCACATCACATAGTGGAAGTTCTACCACAAACTGAGAGCAGTAAATGACCTTAAGAAAGCATAATTATGGTTTATGATAGTGTGTGCAACTGTGTTTAATAGCAGACTTCTTGGGAAATAGTGTGTGTAATACAGACTTCTTGGGAAATAAGATGCCCCATCGTGCAAAGTGTTCAGTATCTCCTGCATGGTGCTCAGTGTTCTCAACTCCTACTGATGTCAAAGGGAGTTGAGGACACTCATCATTCACAAGTGGTGCTCCGTTAGCTGCAAAAATTCATCCCTAAATCACCAGCCCTTCCTCTCTTACCTTGTTTCCTGAGATACTCCTTTCTCTGGAGCTCAGCCTCAGCCAATACAGCCTTGAATGCTAAATTAATGGAAGAAAAGTGTTAAACAAGAAGTTAGTTGCTGAAGAACTCAAAAGAATAATTGAAGTGCATTATTTTTCATAGGCTGAGCCAAATGTTTCAGAGAACTTACCATCTCCAATGAGAACTAATGAAGACTGGTTCTTTGCATTTCCATCTTCAATTTGTAGAGTGTAAGTTCCTTCATTTTCAATTGTAAATTGGTCCATCAGCATCTCAATAATGCCATTTGAATAGTCACACTTAATTCTATGGCGCTGAAATTACATAAGCATTACAGTAGGTAAGTATAGCTACACAATGCGATGTGTAGTGCAAGTTATTTATAATTCCCTAACATATCAGTCATCACCATATTCATTTGCTGATTGTATGTCCCAGTCGCCTATCCTTCACCTCTTACTATGAAGCTTTCTGGGGCAAGGGCAGTCTTTATCTCTTTTTGTAAAGTACCTAGCACAATGGGGCTTCTCTGCTACTATGATATGAATGTTTAATAATCATAACAACAGTCCTTTTTCTCAACTTAAAAATCTTAATGTAATGGACCATGCTGGCTTCATGTGAATGAGTAGCTGGCCCACAGAGTGGATCTACTAAGTCTACTATTGGCTTCAATCCTGCAAAGATATCTGCCAGCATGGAGCTTTATTCCTGAGTAGAGTTCCACTGAGGCCAGCTGGAAGGTCGAGGTTAAGAGAAATATCTTCATACTGTAGATAGACCTACTATAACCAATCCAAACAGCAGAACTTGGCTGTTGGTTATAGGGTCCCTGGGCTTGAACTCCATGCAGTGGGAAGCCCTGGGTTCCCCTATCAGCCACCGGGGAAGCTAGCATGAAGCACCTAAGAAGAGGACAAGGATAACAGAGAGTCCTGAGAAAAGACACTGAAGAACACAAGGCCCACAGTCAGAGCCAAAGGTCTGATACAAAGTCTTGGACTTTTTTTTTGGTAGGATTTTTCTGATACCCCAGAAGGGATGGATTAAATCATGACCTGGCCAGAGGACTGAGTTACAGGAAAAGTCACCACTGCCGTGCAGAAGCAATGGTCTGCAGGGAGCTACCAGATGGGGAGAGAGCTGCTCTGCTACGACTGGCCACAAGGAGGCAGTGAGTGAACTCCCCCATAGGTTGCAAAGAAGATGTGAGAAAGGAAACAAAACAACATCATTTTGGAAAGAAAACTGTGCACGTGAGATTAAGGGTATGTCTATACTGCAATCACAGGGTGTGACTGCAACTCAAGTGGACAAACTCTAGCTAGATTTAATCCACCACGCCCAGGTACCAGAGCAGTGAAGCAATGGAAGTATGTACAGCTGGGTTCCAGGTGGGCTTGAAGCGCACGTGGCCATGGCTTCACTGTTACAGTACCTGAGCTCGCTTAATTAAAGCAAGCTCAGACATGTCTATTCAAGATACTATCATGCCCCATGATTGCAGTACAGATGTACCCTACTACAGATTAGATAATACATTACACTCATTATGGGACTGATCCTGGTCTGGTTAAGTGGAAGGACCTTTTAATACTGAATGGGAGCAGTATTAGACCCTGTATTTTTAATGATCATTACTGACATTTTCAAAAGTACAAATTATACAAGGGAGATATTTATGGTATGTTGTGGTAAAGTGCTGAGCTCTCTCAACTTCCAGTGGAATCAAGTGGCTCACAGAAACAGATCTTAAACATATAAACAATAATAAGAACATATGGCATACAATAAAGAAAGTAAAGATCTAAAAATAGAGGAAAAATGAAAATATTAACATTATAAATGCAATAAATGAAGAAAAATAAGAAGCTACATTATTTGATATGAAACATAAAAAAGTTATAGCAGATAAAATGAGATGCAAAAAAATAAACAGGCATGGAAAGCACATTAATGAAAGGGGAGTCAACTAGTGCCAAACAATATGAAGGAATCTAAAGAGAGCTGGATAAGTTTGTAGCAACAAGTGAGGGAGATGATTTTGTGTCAATGTTTTGGATGGATTGAAGAGAGGTAAGGATCACAGGCATGATGGGAAGAGGTTGCAGTAGTCAAGATGACGATCTTGGACATACTGTTGAGAAAAAATGTGTGGGTTTCATGTGGAGTGAGAAAGAGAGCAAGGATTTACAAATTACAGAATCCTGAGGAACAGAAGGGATGGAAGAGTTGCTAATGGAAATAGAAAAAAAAAGATGGGTTCCGATTTATTTTCCCATATAAGGCCCTCACTTATGTGAAGAGTTCCACTGAAGTCAATGTGCCTACTAGTATCAATAAGAACAACTTGTGTCAAGAAGAGTTAGCAGGATTGGGCCTTTACTGGTTAAGGATAAGAGGCCATTTTGAAAAATAGATTATTGGTACTGAAATCTAAAAGTTTAATTTAAAATATCAAGGAAATAACTATCAAATGAATGTAAGGAAAAGAGAAAAATAATGAAGGGAGAAGTAAAGAAAGAACCAGTAGGATAACTACAATATTTATTAATTAAATGAAATACAGAGAAGAGAATATGTCCATTGTTTGCACAGAATTACAATAGAGCGATGGTCATAAAATCTGGATGTTTACATCTTTTTTTGAACACACATAGTAAAGTAATATCACAGGGTAAAGGAGAATTGGCTAAATCACCACATTAAACAGGACATTGGCATATGTAATCAAAGTTTGTCGGAAAAGACGGTACAAAAGAGTTGGTGGCCAGGATGATTAAAAAGAGGGGTTTGTGTGGGAAATGAAAAGAAGCTACATGTTATTCATTAAATTAAGTATCAAGCAGTGCAACTAAATCAAGAAAACATTTCTCTTGGTCTCTGAGATTCCAGACCCTGTACTCATTGAAGTCAATGGCAAAATGCCCATTGACTTCAATGGTACAGAAACAGACCCAAGAGAGAAAACTAAATTGCTGTTTCCAGCAGTAGAAAGGAAATTAGAAGGGGGAAAATACAAAGGCTCAATCTTGTCCTTTTTCTTGCTTCTTGAATTTGTTATATTTCTTACTTTTGGGCACAGGGAGCAAGATTAAAATGACTAAACAGGCTGAACAGTGCCAGTTAATTCCATTTTCACATTACTATATTTCAAACATCTTTCAGAAGTGGGACCAAAGGAAGTTTTCCCAATTAGGGCCCAGAAGAAAGTTATTTCATTGTCGTCAATGACAAGAATCAAACTACATTCTCACCATCACAATGGTCTATTGAACATGTTCACTGACTGCAGTCCAGTCTCTAGGCAGGTTTTGGAAAATAATTAGGCTTCTAGCTATTGCCATTATGCAGCAAGATGAAGTTCAATGATTTTATGGGTACCATAAATACAAGGCTTTTATGTGACTTTCCACAAAAATATCATCAATCTCCACAAGTAAATGTCACCTGTGGATTACTAATTAAAATGTTAAAATAATACAGCTCGACTGCAAGAGGCTATCTATGATGTCAACTCTTTCAGAACAGATGCACACTAAAAATAGATGAATCTGTTCTGTAAACAGTTCCAAATCCAGAATATTGAAACTTCAATAGATGCTAGTCATCTTTTATTCATGTTTTCAATGTTAAAGTTTATTACTTCTCAAGAAAAACTGTAAGGGGGAAAGAAATTAATAATTCTAACAGAGAAATATTCCCTCTTAATCCTGTCAATATCTAATCCAGGGGAATGGTCTTTGCTCTCCAGGGTTTGCAAAAAATGCAGACAAGCTTCTCTGATCAAAAATGTTTTCTACAACCTAAGGAACAGATTAATCGCTTTGAAGCCATAGCCATGCTCAGGGAGCAGTGTGAAGCCACCCCACCCCAGAAAGATTACTGGGGGGGATCAGACAGGCAGAGACTCTCCAAATGCTGCTCTTTATGTACAGAGGGTGAGCAATGTGCTCCTCCCGGTGTGCTAGCCCTGCACCATGACCTGATGGTGCGGGAGGGTTGGGAGTGGAAGAGCATGGCTCTGCCTTATCCTTATCCTTCCCTGATCCCTTTACAGGGTCCACTGCAGTGAATGGTCTTAGTGCAGCAGTGCAAAGGTAGGGGAAACTCCTTCCTTACCCTTCTGTGACTGGGCAGCCATGCAGGGGCCATTCCCAATCTAGCCTCCAAATTTAAAATACATGCAACATCTCGCTGAAGTCATTGGGAGTACCCATGTGAATAAGAGCTCCATGACTGGGCCCAATGTCTGTACCTATCTATACAAGCGGCAACATATAATTTGCTGCTAACAGAAGCACCTCAGCTGGAAAGTTGTGCTTATGCAACAGTCAAGATACTGTAACACACTGACATGTTCACATGTAGGCAATCCACTGTTAGAGGCAAGTGGCAGATATATTACATACTATGGCAAACAGATGAAACAAAGAGATCCCTTCTGCCCCCTGCCCCCAAATCTGTATCCATTTATAGAACCTAATTCAAGATGGGCCTTTAAGGTTTGAAAAGTTCAGCTAATTTGTGCTTTCCACTTCCAGGTTCTGACTGAAACTGGCAATGCCAAAATAACACAGGAAAAACTGTTCTTATGGTATTTTTGGATAGGACCAACAGCAGAAATGGGGAAATGGGGACAGCTCAGGGAAAGGCTGTTCTAACTATGCTTAGGTGATGGGAGCTTTAAAGTGCCCAAGAGTCCAATCAAACTCCCTCAAAAAATCAACGGGAATTTTACCACTGACTTCAGTGGGAGTTCTATTAGGCCTTAAAACACCTAGGCAGATATTTCCATCTCAAACGGTTAGGATAAGCTTCTACTGTACAGTTTGGATGTTTATACAAATCCAAACTCCAAACCTTTGACATTTGCCCATCACTGTTGTATAGTCATTCAACTTGCCTCATGTTTATTTTTAAAGACACATTCCTTCCAATTTACACCTTGATTATAGAAAATAAAAAGATGAAGAAAGCCTCAGCTCAGCCAACAATGCCAGTCTTCACTACCCGTTGGTCCAGTTTTCCCTCAAGCACTTTGCAGCATTCTCCCATGCTGCCTCTTATGCCTAGTGTAGGAATTTAGGCCCACATTAGATTTGGGTGAACTGTGGTTTTAAATTGAGTTGGGATATTAGGATGAGCAATAGGCCCGAAGGACGTGACCAAAAAGAATGAGATCATGAGAAAGAAGAGTTGTGGTGTTAAATATATAGTGACTCTTCAAAATACCACTGTTATCTTATTTAAGATTTGGGCTGAAGTAATAGAAATAAAACAGGGTTAAATGGGTCCCAGGTGCAATAAATAATTGGTTATATGAGTTTGTTTCATGTATTATAAAATATTGCTTAATCTGTGCTTAGCTAAGGTCCGACAATTGGCAATGACATCACTTGTTTGTTAAAGGGTATAAAAAAGTGAACGCTGAAAGGTTTATTTGCTAATACTTGCCTAACCAAGATGGAGCCGACCAGTATGGGTCTAAGCTCCCTGGGGTTTAGCCTGTTTTTCAGTATCTTGATTAAATGCTTATACATGTCCTGTTACTGTTTTGATGTAGTAAATTGTTTATTATCTAGTTTTTTTAGGCATGTTTAGAGTAATTGTATAAATAACATTCAGCCTTTGGATTTAATAGAGGAATTTATGGTTACGTTAGTGTTGTGATAATACTCTGCATAAATAATAAAAATTCCAACACATGGGAAGAGCACCCCCTAAAAACCTGCACAGCTACCACATTGTCCTCCTTCAAATCCCTTCTTAAATCTGACTTGTGCTGTGAGGCCTACAAAATATTTGGCAATGGCTGAGCAGTAAGCATACCATGACTGGTGCTTATTATACCAAGTATGGTTACCTCAGTGTTACCTTGTTCTCCCCATCACTTGTTTATCCCTAGCTTCCGTATCTCATAATATGCTTAACTTATAAGCTCTTTGGGGGCAGGGCCTGTCACTTTATGAGATGTGTATATAGTACTTAGCACAATGGCATTCCTTCCTAGGCACTACCAACTCATCAACATTAATAGTATTGTAGACAATGCAGATGCAAGAAATTCACATGCAAAAGTGACATAAAGGCAACTATAGCCTTCCACATGTACTTACGTCGCTGTTTACAACTTCTTTATCATTAACAACAAATCTGAAGCTGGCATTTGGTGACAAACTCTCAGCTTGAACCCAGAAACGAACCTCTCCTTTATCAAACATCTCATAAGCTAATTCTGATTTCAGAGGAATTGCTACAAGAATAAAAGCAAGCAAAAGTCAATAATGCATGAACCCTTGTGAGCAAGAAGAGAGGAATAAAAAGCAAAACTCTACTGTACCTTTCTGATGCATTTTAAAGCTTCTTTCTAGGAGTCAGAGCACAATCTCCACTACATCCTTAATGCAGTGTTTGAGGATTTTGCATAATAGACACCGCGCCAGTATTAAAAGTGGACAAACATCAAAAGACTCGAGTGATGGAGATTGCTCTCAGATAAGAGCTAATATTTGTTTTAAAATAATCAAAAGATAAGCAAGCAAATCTTGCTGTGAAAAATGAGACTGTCATTGTCTTAAGAGGACTCCTTGGGGAGCACAGTCATCAGTGTGTAACTATATTATTTCATGAACTGTCTATTAAATTCAGAAGTTCTACTTACTTGGGTTCTTTATATCATGGCTTAGTGTCATCAGACGTTCAAGCTCTGAAATTATGAAAAAGTTTCATGTATTAATTTATTCTGACAGAGTCAAAATACAGCTGTTAAAACAGTGTACAAATCAGTATCAATGCATAAATAATCTGCTTATGGCTTGTGGGAAAAATACTCCAAAAGCCTCTGAAAATTCAGGTCTCAAAAGCTAAATTGAAGAAGACAGGAAAAACTTAAAATTCTGGTTCATGGATTTAGTAAGTTTTCATATTTAAAATGTATGAGAATGTAAGCATGGAGCTAAAACTCATTTTAGATTTTCTATGGGATTTACACTAAAGATATATAGGAAATATGCATCTAACCTGCATCTAACACCCTCTTTATCTGCTGACCCGGCTCACTAAAGTATCATTTCCAAAAGGTTTCTTTGCTAAAACAGCTAGATTGAGAGCTGGTTGGTAGGAAAGGTTCAATTAGCAGTAAATCCTTATGTGTACCAGGCTAGGTTCCACATAGCTGGGACCTGGGACTAATCCTACTTAACATATTTATTACTGGTAGGGACTTGGAGGATGAAACGAAGTGCATCGTTTCAAAATTTACAGATAATACAAAGACAAGAGGAAATGATCGAGGATTTTAGGACACAGTGGAGGATTTAACAAAGTTGCAGAAGGATTTGATCTAGTTTTGGGAAATGGCTGGACAGCTAAGTGATTATTTTCAATGGTGGAATAAGTAAGGTGATACATGTGAGAAGAGCAGACAAAAAGTAAAATGATCATTGTTAGTCATGGCAGAGGAAGAAAGGATTTAAGTGTAGTGGGGGAAATACCACCAGGGTTGGGTCACAGTGCATGGCTTTCAGCAAAGAAAACTAGGAATGTGTTAGGGTGGCTCATAGATGCTATGGTGATGGGCCCACTAAAATAAATTAGATGCACAGATGGATAAGTGATGTGTGTTAACTTAAAACTAATAATAACAACGATAAATTAAATATTCTGGCCAAAGCCTTTATAAGGCCATATCTTGAGTAGTATGGACAGTTGGGGTTGTCTAAGACTAGACAGATTAATAATGGCTATTCGGTGCCCCAAAACTTCATTAACTCAGAGTGAAGGTTGACCATCAATGCCTTTAGAGCATCAAGTGCACCTAGATCTAAGCCTGTGAATACCAGGAAATACAGAGTTAAGGTACACACCAGTCCCGCCCCTGCAATGGGCTGTGACCTACAGAACTGTGCTCTCTCACTCGTCTGTGTGGATTCCAGCTGTCCTTCATGGTTTTAGGGACAGCTTTATTGATTGGTCTAAGCTTACTTACAGCAGGTTGCCACAGTTCACACTGGATAGGAGAAGAGGTGCATCTACACCCAAAGGGATCATGGACCCTTCATTTCTGTGCTGAGTTAGATCAGTTATACAAGTAGAGGGGCACAACAGTCTATTCTTGCCATGGCAATCTGTAGCAGTCCAGTGGCATGCATAACAGTGTACTACAGGGCAGAAATAAGTGCTAGTGATGTTCTGGAGAGAATAGCTAGGACAAGGGTCAAGGGGTAGTAGAATCTGGCATCTCTGGGGGTAGTTTGTGCAGAGTACATGAAGTAGTTGAGTACAGGCACAACAATTTTCGAAACATCTGAGTAAGGATGTGGATTGCAGAATACTTAGAAAAATCAGCTGTTAGAGTAAATTGGTCTCAGTCTTCACTATAGTGATGCTACTGCCCTGCTATAATCAAGGATTGGGAGGACAGAGAAGGGAAAGTTAATGTATGGTACGAAAGCTCTCTTGAAGGGGTTCAAGTGTGTTTCTCATGGAATAAACAGACTGCAAGGTGATCTCATTGCAGTTTCATAGGAAAAGAAGAAAAAATCTAGGAGTGGGATTTTCAGTGTCTAACTGATTTAGGAGCACAAGCCCTGCTGACATTCAGTTACATTCAATGGGTTTCAGACATTTAGGCACTTTTGAAAATCCCATCCTAGATTTTTTCATATCTTCTGAAATTGTAATGAGATCATCTTTCAGTGTATTTCAAAAAATGCTGTGCAAGCACACTCTGTCCACCTAGGCACATGCTTGTGTTCCTTACCTGTGCCATCCTGGCTTCAACGCTAGATAGATCAATGCAGGTGTGAGTACATCTACCCGAGCTGCAATTGCACCTCTGATTGCAGTGTACACATACCCTAAGTCACTTAGCTCAAGTCCTGGGGGCACAAGTTCCATTGAATGTCCCACCTCTAATACTTGATCCCACCCACCTTTAATTTATGTTGAGTGTAAATCAAGTTTCCAGTTGAATTCTGTGGGCTTTGGATCAGCTTTAGATGCTTAAAAGAAAGTGTATACATGATGTGAGATTCGAGTTAGATCTCAAGATGCATTATGAATCAGTTACTAGAAAGTAGGCAGATAATATTTGAAGAAAGAGAAGAATGTAGCTTTAGAATAAAAAAATATAATTGAGTAGGAAAGTTCCCTGAATAGCAGAGCCTGCCTTAAAGTAGGAAGAAGATTAGGTCTAATCCAAAATTAACGGGCCAAATTATGCTGGGTCGTATATAGATGCACCCACACAAAAGGCAGCCATAAAATACAAAGTGTATTTGGGAAGACAACCGCCAGAGCTGTCTGTAGCTGCTGATGGCATCTTTATGCTAATGGCATAAAAGGGTGACTGGGAAGGATGAGGCCAGATCACCAGCCTCTAAGTACCGCAACAACTGCCAGGAGGAGATCACTGGAGGAAGGATGGGTGTGACCTTTGCTAAAATGTAACAAGTGAACCTCTCCAATACCCTCACCCTCCCAGCTTCCCTTGGATGGTGATGGGCACACCAAATAATGGCAACCCCAGTGAAGTAGAGCATAGCTACTCCAGATTTATGTCAAGGTAACTGAGAGGAGAATTTGGCCCAATATCTCAAGACACCACTGTTCAACTAATATAGTTCTTCCTCCTCCTTTCCCATTTCAACTCTGCATCTAAGACTTATAACCTAGTTCTATACATTTAACTCCAGAAGTTGTATCTGTATTTTTTTCAAACTATTTAAGTCACTTTGGATAGTGTATAGGATTTTGAGCTTAGGTTAATTAGCTGTTACATGGTTGATTATTAAAGAAACATACTATGGGCCTGATTTTCAGAGCATTTTAACTGTAGAATTAGGGACATATGTTCACAAAATAATGCACACAGCTAATTGGATCTTCCGAAGTTTAACTGAATTGCTAGTGCAATTGAAACTACTAGATTTTTTGTTGGTAATGTTTTTTTGTTTTCTTTTCTTTTTTGCAGATTTTATTGCATCCTAGCATTACAGTAAATTTGAAAATTAATACTAATTGTCTACATCCTTTATCATTTTTAAAATTAATTATTTCCTTAAGTACACAATGCTGAAATTTCCCTTGTATGCTAACCAGGAAAATAGACAGCCACTCCCAGAATGCCTGTTCATGCATATTTATTTTGTTCTTCTGCACAAAATAGAATAAGTGCTTTAGTGTCATGAACAGTGAGTAACTTCTTATGAAATTACCTATTTTGCTTGTACATCTTGTTTTCTTAATATAGCCCTACAGATAAAGAGAGGCAGTGCTTAAATAATAGTGCTCTTACCTTTCTCATCCATTTTAAAGCTGGATGAGATGCCATCTGTGTCACTAACAGCTACAGAATAGGTTCCCAAGTCCATTTTATCAGGATTTTTGAAGTACAACTTAGAACTAAAGAAATCATTAAAAATATATATATGCAGTTAGTGGCTTTGTCACAAGTGGGCAAAGTTTTACAAAAACAAACTTCTAGTGCCTTTATACAGGGTTCCAGAACTTACTGCTCTCCAGTTGTTTCAGCATTAAACTTATCAAGATCAGTAATCTCTTCATAGGATTTACACCAAGTAAAATCTGATGCCTCTGTAACTTCTGGGCAATCAAAAGCTAGGTAAATATTACCTTCTTCATCCACATCTGCAGTAATTTCCTTGGTTCCTGAAAATTAAGAATCAATTCATAAACACAGCAGTCAAGAAATAGCATTTATTCTTCAAGGCCCCAGCTCAGCAAAGCACTTAAGCACATACTTAAATCCAGTCTTCTTCAGCAATGTGTCAAGCATTTGCTTAAATGCATTGCTGAATAGAGACGGACTTCAGCACATTCCTAACTTTAAGCACACATTGAAGTGATTTGCTTAACATACTAGAATGGGGTTTCTTATAATATACAAAAAAAACAGAAGTCTAAAAATAATGGGTGCTTAGTGATACCAAGCTATGAAATAAAACTGACTGTAAACTTTAAAAGTAAACTAGTAACATACATTGTAACACAAACTAAATTATTTAAAAATTCTTGCAGTGTTAGCAATCAGCGTGCCAGGTTATGCCTCTCACACTCAAATTAGGCAATACTTTACTGTATGAGCAGACTCACTGAAATCAGCGAGACTAGTTGTGGAGTACTACTCAGTGTGAAGAAGGGTGGCAAAATGTGGCCTTATTAATTATTTAGCAACATGGTAACAAGGTTTTTTTAAAATACACTTGTATATAATACATGTCCTTTCAACACCTACCACAGTAGTTAGCACTAACAGTGGTTGTTGTAAAGGTCTTGTTCATAATTAGATTTAACAGATAAGGCAGTGCTTAAAAACTTTCCAATTGCTTCAAATAACTAAATAAGAGTTACAGTTAGCTAATCTCAGCATTTGTAGTAATCCAGGTATTTCCCTCAGTAAGTAAAAGAAAGTACAAGGACACACTGCCAATACTTCGATAACCATATCTGCTGATACAGTTATCTCAGATAAAACTGACAAGTTTTTCAGTACCACCACTATTCTATCCTGAGTTCCTAGAATGCTTATTTCTGCCAGAGTAATGTTTACACCATTTTCTAAATTATATCTACATTTTATGTATGGGAGATAACATAATTTAGTTCATACCTGGTCTTGCCTCGATAAGCACTGGCTCAGAAATATCAGATGATTTGCCCATACCGGCTTTATTCACTCCACGGACTTTGAAAACATACGTTTTGCCCTCATGTAAATCATTGACCTTGAAAAGGACAGAGTAAAGTTTGTGTTAAATATATAAATTTATATAATTGAGTAATAAGAATTTGTTAGCAGAAGTCCAAGGGTGATATCCAGCCCTATTGAAGTCAATGGTAAAACTTCTATTAGCTTCAGTGGGGCCAGGTTTTCACCTCCAAGTTTTCTTCCTTGGTCGCTTTTTCATTGAAACAACAATAACTACAACAACCTTTTAGTAAATGAAGTGTTACCTTTAAGTAACAGTGTGAAATTTGTTTTTCATTAGCGGTGGTCCACTCTTCTGAATCTACTTCCTTATAGTCCACAAAATACCCAGTAACAGGACTGTTACCACTGTACACAGGTGCTTTCCACAGAAGTACCAAAGATGAATTCCTAACTTCACAGAATGTCAGATCATAGGCAGGCCCTAAAACATTTTGAATGTTGAAAAATTAGTCAAACTTAATAACATTTTACAACCTGGCCCTTTTGGATGGGGGAGGAATGTACAATTTATTTTTTTTGTTTGGTTTCAATTCCCCCCCTTTAGAAAAAGAAGTTGTATCTATTGGTATCCTTTCCCAGGTTAAAATGTCTATGTCTATGTCAGCTCACGAAAGCTGTATTGCACCACCTCTCTTATTCAAGAGTAACATTAGTATTCCAAAGTGCACATTGTTAGCTGGATCCCAGTAGTTTCATTTTGAGGTTAAATTATTCATCTGGAAAATCCATGCCCTCTAAAACATTCTGAGGAGGGATAGGTGCTTCTTTTTATTTCTATTTTAATTCACTATTTCAAATTCGAGGCAGCTCCATTGAGTTTGGAATCAAATCGGTGATTAAGCATCAGTACTTCCATTTTCAGTTTTATTCTTTCTATTTTATTGGTGAGCATGAAACAGGAGCCACTGGCCTGATCCACAGCCCACTAAAGTCAGTGGGCGATTTTGCACGTATTTTGGATCAGGCTCTATATGCATTGACAGAAGATCACTTTTCAGTCAGAGGACGGGTGTAGATCTCCCTAAAGGAAGGGAATTCAGGAGGACATTTAGACTAAGAACTATTAAAATAGTAGGCACTCAAATTCTCCTGACACTGTAATCAGTATATGTGTGGTTTTGTGTCTTTGTATCTTGAAGGCTTATATTCTCACCACCACATCATCTTTTTCTTTCACTGAAATTGTTCTGATGCCACACAATTTACATTTCTTTATACATGAAAATATTCAAACTCAGTTTTATTAACAGAGTACAAAACAGTAATCACATCAGTTTTCTATCACACAGACCAAACCTACAATAGTATACAACTACCATTCAAAAACACAGACAGGTCCTTTTGAATAAATTAGTGTTTCCCTCCATTCCATCTGACTTTCAATAATGATAAATAACCAACATGAAATTCTATAGTGATATGGTTCTACAGACATGCATAAGGATATCATTAGTGAGCAACAAAGGGGTGATTCTCCATTGGATATAAAATACTGAACATAGGATTGGAAGGGACCTCTTTGGTCATCAAGTCTAGTCCCCTGCTGTCTCAGGCAACCTTGTCTGACAATCCCATTCGTAAATTTACCAGTGTGTTTTCTTTATAAATCTGGGCACCTCTTTCAGACCAATGAGTACAGGTAAGAGATTTCTCATGTACATGTAAGGCTGGGATTGTCAAAGGAGCCTAAAGGAGCTGAAGTTCGATTCCTAACTGTCTTAGGGTCCTTTGAAAATCCCAAGCTAAATGTCTTTATGGCCACTATTAATTACATTTCCTATAGGCAGTTGTATTTGCTAAAGTCCTAGAAGGTGGAAGAAAAATGTCGTGTGAAACTTGATGAAGAGGACTCTATACTACTAGTAGTCATTGTGATCTTTCGTTGTTCTAATGCATGTACAATAATTCATTAGCTAACATTGTAAACTCATAAAGGCTCACAGATATACCTAAAATTGGGGCTCTGCAGGAAAAAACATGGACACCAGCTATTCCCCTACAAATTGGATTGGAAATTGGTCAGTCACACTGGAAACCTTGCAATGGGTTTTGGCCTACCTGTAGAAGAACCTCACTTCTGTTTCAAAATGTGTAAGAGCACTTCCAATATCCACAGCAATTACAGGTGTGTGGTAGGCATGTATGTTTTTCCGGAATTTCTTTATGAAAAAAGCATGAACGGCTCAGACTCTCACTCCATCTTAATTCAAATCACACTTCCTCCTTTTGGTTGTTGCTAAGCCATTTTCTAACACTACTTTCAAAGAGGTTTGGAGAACATTTTAACAGCCTTTTTTCTAGCAGGAAGAAATTTAATACCACCTGTTCAGTTAACTGCATAATGAGAACAATGCAATCAGACTGCGGAGCGCAAAAGGTCAAGCAGTTCATCATGGAAATGAATGCTATTTCCTCTTTGTTTCCTGCAGACACCTTTTATTTTATTTTTAGATATAAACTCAAAAGGGCAAAATCCTTGCTAGTTCACACGCTGGATAATTCCACTGACTTTGTGGCAGATTTCAGCGGGAGTAAATCAGTGCAGCATTTGGCCCATTCAGAAGAGTAACTACCCCTTGATGTCATTTTGATCCTCAGTACTTACAAAGGAATGTGAAAATCTCACATGTGATAATGGACACCAGGTCAATTCTCTTACTTACACCATTGCAATATCATAGAAGCCAACAGTTAGGACTTGTATAACTCAATGGAGAATTTAGCTAAATGTTTTTCATTCCAGTCCAAAGTTATTTTCCATATATAAAATAAAAAGAAACATAAAATTATCCTCTGACTTACACCCCCATCAAGCCACACTGAAGTCAGTGAGAACTTTTATCTAGTTTTAGGAAAACCAGTTTAAATTTTCCCAGAGAAAATTAATCCAATAAGGCATTTTTGCAGGAAGCAGACATGAATAAATCCACTGAAGTCAATGGGACCATTCATGAAGGAAGGTGCTACTTAATGTGAATGAGGTCATCAAAATGTGCCTTTACTAAAGAACCTGATATTAAATAAAATTGGAGTCAAAATTATTGCTCTGAATGCTCCCCAATAAGAACCAAAGAAGAGTTACTTTTTACAATCCTACACAGGTTAAGCATTTGTGATCTGCGAATCTTGGACCAGTAACATTTTCTCATTTAACATTTTTTAAAAGTGAATTTAATGCTTGTGATTAACAGTCTTGAAGCCTGAAGCTTGTGGAGGACGGAGAGCAGAACTGCAGGTTTCCTCGCAATACTTTGCCAATGGGCCATAACACTGTCCTGTTGGGACCACAAACAGGGCTTGTATTTGCTGAGGGTCCAACACAATGCCCACTGAGGTCAATGGGAAGAGTCTAGGGGTACATCTACACTACAATAAAAAACCCATAGCACTGATTTTCAGAGTCCAGGCTAATTGACTCCAGCTGCTGAGCTAAAAATTGCTGTGTCTATGTTCAGGCACAGGCTGGAGCCTGAGCTCTGAGACACCCCCGCCCAACACACACACACACACAGGGTTTCAGAGCCTGGGCTCCAGCCCAAGCCTGAACATCTACACAGCAATTTTTAGACCTGCAGCCTAAACTGAGTCAGCTGACCCAGGCCAGCCACAGTTGTGCCATGGGTCTTTTTATTGTAGTGCAGACATACCCTAAGTGTATGCCTATACTGCAAAGAAAAACCCATGGTGCTGAGTCACAGATCAATTGATTCAGGCTTGTGGGGCTTGGGCTGCAGAGCTGTGTAGACGTTCCCACTTGGGCTCTGAAACCTGGCAAGGGAAGAGGGTCTCAAACCCCAGCCTGTAGCCCGAAGAGGAACATCTAAACTGCTATTTTCAGGCCCTCAGCCTGAGCCCTGTGAGCCTGAGTAAGTTGACTAGGGCTCAAGACTTGGTGCAGTGGTTTCTTTGTAGCACAGACATACCCTGACTGACTTCAGTGGGATCTAGATCATTCCCTTAGTCTTTGCTAGACACTGCCAATAGCCTTCAAAATAGTGGCTTGTTTCCTGTGTCAGCCTATTTATAAACTGCCTTCTTAGAGATCACCTACTTGTTGGGACTGCCAGTAACCGGTGTAACTGTAAAGGTGTCTATTGTGATATGGATATCAGTTCACTTGCAATTCACTGAAGGCATCAATTCATTTCACACCGGACACTGAGCAGCCATCCAGTGACAATGACTTTTGTTTACCACCAGTCAGTTTCTGATTCAAACCTTGTAGGGACACACTTCATATCACTTGAGCCATCCCATTCACTCACAGTGTATCAGCAAATTTAGTACACTTCTAGTTTAGCTTTCTGAAAATCAGACACATCCTACTGAAGCAATTTGACAGGCACTCTTGTAAGAAAATTACACCTTCCTTATATATTCACACTGGGATTTCAAACTGACTGTGTTGCAAGGAATTTGCGTTAAATTGAGTATTATGAGGAACTAATAGACTTACCAGGTTCTGGCATGGTCCAGGCTTTACACATAAAGTGCTCACTGGGATCTGAGGGAAGGCCTATACCAGCCAGGTTTGTAGCAGCGACTCTGAATTCATAGAAGGAGTTTTCTGTCAAATCCTCTGCCTTTTCAAAACAGCCAAGGACAAATTAATATACATGAAAATGTATTACTTTTTATTCCAGGCCTCGGAAATGTAATAATAATAATAACATACATTTATTCACTGATTGATTTAATCATTATTAAGCACCATAGATTGTACAAGGAAGTAAAACAAGATCCTGCTCCAAGGATCTTACAATCTAAACAAGAGAGCTCATATAGGCAGAGCTTTTGCCACCACACAATCAATCTTAGTACTGTCCCTCACATAGTTCCTCCTCTTCCCTCCTCTTGCTGCAGTGGGAAATACATTTCTGCAGCTCTGGAAAAGGTGGCCCTTACTGTGACCTCATGAGTGGCCAACTACTTAGGCCAGCAAGAAAGAGGATCTTCTCCATCACCTATGCCCACTCTCTGCCCTCTCCCCAACCAGTTGCTCACAAGGGGGAATATCTGAGGAGCTGTGTTCCACAGAGCCAAGATCCAGGTAGGCCTTATTAACTGAGCCGGGGGTATTGGAGAGGCTGTACTTCTCCTCAGCTGTGTAAGACAAGGGCACAAGGTCATAACAGGAAATAATGACAGACCCTGAGGAGTGGGAGGGGAAGAAGGGCGGATAATAGAAATCTAAAGGAAAAGGAAATAAACTCCTTGGGAGAGGAGTGTATTTAAATAACTCAGATCCTGCATTTGGCTTATTTGGGCGCTTTTCCTCAGTTTTAATTAATTGCATAGGGCTTTTATTTTTTTCTTTAAATATTATAGACACTAGAAAGGGAGGAGATAGCACTGGGGATGGGATCAGCAGGGCACAGCTGGTGGCCAGTAGATCCAAGCCAGAGCCACTAGCCACATCTCTGTCACTCTCCTGGCTTTTCACGGTGAGCGCATCACCATTTGAGCTCAGCTTTGCAGCTTATGGAGACCATAAAGTCCCAGAGTCTCCCTATGATCTGCCCCACTGAGCAGCACAATCACAGTGGTGGTTCTGCATTTGGACCCTTCACAGACCCTGCACATTTCCTCCCAGTTTTATTTTCTGTTAAAATTGTGAAAGGGAAGGCTCAGCTAATGGCAGGCACCACTGTGGAGGGCCTGGAAGATCTTAGATGTTCACAAATGTTAGAGAAAGTAGGTCAGTTGTCTTTGAGAAAAAGGAGATAATAGAAGGATCTTAATGTAGTATTTATTTTTTTATGGGAATAGAGAGATTTATGCTTGAAAGTTTATCTGAACTAGCGTCAAATACAAGATCAAAGCAAAACCAAACTGAGCTAGGACTCAGAATGCCAGGCACTAAAAGAATTTAGCCAGAATTTCTTAATACATAAAGTAACTAACAACATAAGAACTTAGTGCCACCAGTAAAAATGATTTAACCCTCCCTCAGTTATTAAGGGCAAAAAATATTTATGGAGTAAGGTACAATTATTTAATTCAGGAAAATGATGAATCTCCATAGATTTCCTGGTTTCTCTCTATCTATTTATGTTCTAATACTATGTATCTGAGGGACTCATATGCTTACCAGACATCATAAAATATGTTATGTGCCTAAAAGCTTTGTTTCCTTTATTTCAATCAGTATTTCAGGCGTCGATCCTTCAAATGGCTGCATGCAGATACACTCCTACATCCAAGCACAGTCACTTGGAGGACTGTGACCTTAGATACCAAATTCATTAAAGACTCATTTGTTTTTCTTAATTTACATTATTTGTTTACAAATGCATAGAAGAAAAAAACATAATGCCCTGACTAACTTTGCCCTTCTTTCATTTCCCAACGTCCCCTGCTCCAGCAGCACAGCCAGTGATGCCTGCCTTTCCTTTCAGTTGTCAGCCCTCACACATACATCTTTGTGTCTTCCATGCTGGCTCCCGGGCATGAGCTTAGCAGCAAGGCTATTGCCTCCTTTGCATTAAAATCTCTCCTAAAGAGTCACTCCTGCTGCGAGGCTTATGGGGAAATTAGATGGCTCACACTGATAATTTTGAGGAGTATTTGGGAATAAGTTATAGTTTCATAGAGTTCGAGGCCAGAAAGGACCATTAGATCATCTAATCTGGCCTCCTGTATTACATTCCACCCAGTTACCCTTATATGGAGTCCAGTATCTTGGGTTAGACTAAAGCATTTCAGTCCTCAGGGAACTACGCTTGTGTACCACGGGCAGAGAACAGGAGAGACTGAGCAGCCACCAACGCTTGGCTCCCCTGCCAATGCAGGGAATTGATTAGATGAAGCATGCCTAGATGATCCTAGCAGGTGACCCATGCCCCATGCTCAAAAAAGGCAACGTTCCATCCCCAGGTCCCTGCCAATCTGACCCAGTGGAAAGGTCCCTCCCATCCTGAAATCTGGCAAGCAGGTTGACCCTGAGCATGTGACCAAGACACCAGCCAGGGATCTGAGAAAGATGAGTCTCTGTACCATCTCAGAGCACAGGCTCACCCCATCAGGTGTCTTATCTCTAGTTGTAGCCAATCCTTGATGTTTCAAATGAAAGAAAATTTGAAAAATAAATAAAAATGTAATAATTTAACCTTATATTACCCAAACATGTGGTGAAGCACCACCTTCACTACTAAATGGCTGTATCCCTTCCACCCAATCTCTCTCTTTGTCTTCAGATTGTAATTTCTTTGGGGCATGAGCCATGCACTATTCTCTGTTTGGGAAACACCTCATACATTATGGGAAGTACCATCAATCAATCAATCAATCAATAATGACCCTCTGTTGCTCTAGCGCAGAGTTTGCTCTGCACTGGAAACAGGACCAGATGCAAAGTGGTAGGGCTGGAGCATGCTTTTCTGATTAGTTGAGGGCAGAGATCCACAGAAAGGACAGGCCTGTTCCCTTTGATCTTGGCCCATCTGGGTTCTCCCTCCAGACCTTCCACACTACAGGCAGCATAGTAGCCTGCTCAGTGACATGCTTCTGCCCTTCTGCCATATGTTAAAGACCTGGTGGGGGAGTGAGGTTGCACTTATCAATGCACTATAACGTATGACACCTTTTTAGATCACAAGTTACTCTGCCCTGAATAGGAAACGTGCTTCCAACCTATTCCTCAAATCTCCCTCATCCAGCCAGCCATACTTCTCTAGGTCTAGGGGGCAGTGGGTTGTATTGCATTGCTACCTTTCCCCTCTGCATGCCTCTCCACTCCAATTCTCAAGTTTGTCACATTTTGTTGCTCTCCACAACACACAGTTGAGGGGACTGAGCCATTTTTAGCAGTGTCCCTTCAAACAAGAGTATAATAATACCAACCGTATAAATTCTCTCCTTAACAGGGGAAGAATTGACTTCATGCCAGTTATGGTGATGAGCCTCCCTCTTGTCTATATAATAACCAAGGACTGGTGATCCTCCACTGAACTTTGGCAGTTTCCACCCGAGAGTCATTGAGTGGCCATCACAGTTAAGGAGTGTGAGGCCATAAGGATGTGATGGACAGGCTACAAGAAAATAAGCGTACTGAGTATTAGTACAGTATTCAAAACACAACAGCTAGAAGAAATATGGTAATTTCCCCCCTCTTCTCTTCTATAGCATATGGCTACAGGTTACTGCATCTAGGCAATGGCCTGTAAGGATCGTAATAAAAATTCACTTTGAGATGACTAATACCTTGGACGTGTCAGTGGTGAATAACAGAGAGCAAGTAAGAGCCCCTTTGCCAAAAGAGTTTTTGCTGCTATGTCTGCCCCAATATTATCAGGTTTTGCATTCCTTGGCAATAATGCTGTCAATGCAAGTTATAAAATGGCTGGAATGGAATGGAACAGAAGGCTGTCTGGACCAACACATTCCTAATACTCTGAAATGTTCAAATAGGTGCAAGGATGTCTCACTCAACATTAAAGGGTCTTCAGCAGTGTTGATGTTAATGAAAATACCTCCTAACCAAGGATTCTGAAATCTTCTAGCATATACTTCAAACTGAGGTTGCTATGTGCACTGCTGTGAGCTCAGTTAAGATACCACAAGCCTAAGCTACATTGAACCAGGAAGAATAATGTTCTTGGTGAGTTTTCCCCAAAGGCATTATACCTTCTAAAGCCAGGAGCAGGCATCTCTCCAGAGCCTGCAAGAGGGTTTGTGAGATTGTTTTCCTGTGCTGCTTGTTACACCTATTCAACAAGCCTAGCATGCACCTCCCCCAGCACTATCTTGCATTTGCCATCTTTGATCATAACCTTCGCTAAAGGTACCTCTTCCTGGATCTGTAGTTCTATAAGTAGTGCTAGCTAGGTTCCCTCCTCTTGAGCTCCCCAGGGCATTTTAGATGAGTTATTTGGCCCATCACATTTAAAAGACTAGAAAAAAATCTACCCAAGGCCCAATATAGTCTCTGCTTTTGGAGCTGTATTTGTGATCAGCATGAAGTACTGACAGCAATCAGCAAAGACAGGCATTGTTCTTTTCCAAATATGGATGAAACTCCAGAGTACCATTCACAGCCAGTTGTAATAAAGCATGTGAAACATATCTCAACAAATGTCTCAGCACCTCAGAGTGGGTCTGGCTTTTGTTAAATGACCTGAGCTTTCTTGCTATTACCACTTCAAGTAAAATAGTAGTGAGCATCAGTGAATTCTTACCAATGTAAAGCCTCAATCCATAAGGATTCTATCCTGCAAACCCACACGTCAGTCACTTCAACTATGTGAGTGCTCCCATGAAGTTCTCAATTATGACTGCCAATGTGGATAAGCACTACTCACATGTGTATGGGTTTGCAAGATTGGGCCATAAAACTGTGCAGTGTTAAATGATACACCCCCATGCAACCAACAACTTCAAATCAAATGTGAAGACAAATTCCAAAAAAACTGTAATTTTTATTTTATTTTTATGTCTTCCAACTCACTAAGTGACTGCAGTGGTGTCTCAGAAAAGATGCTGCAACGTTAAAAAGTGCAGGTGTATTAGAATCTAAAGGTAAACAAACATAAGCATGCTTTCCGACTACCTACCAATGTGAGGTACACTCCCTCCTAAAACAATCAAATAGAATAGATTTTTTTCAATAATAAAATATCAAAGGTTAAGAAAAAGTCTTCTAATATGCAAATCTTTTAAAAGATTATTTCTGAAAGCGATGTTGATTGTCCTTCCTCTACAATTTCAAAAGAGAACACGTTCAAATATTTAATTGAAATTTTTTTTTACTGAAAGAATACACTTTTAAATCAAACTGATCTTCCAAGTGCAGGACATTTTTGTTACTTTTCATTCAAGTCTCAAGGCTGAGAATGCAATTGGGGAATCAAAGGCAGACTAGAAAGAGAGATTATAGTTTACCTGTGTTTGTGCATTATGGCCCAAGGAGCCATTATGCCCTCCAATAAGCATGTACGATGCCTATTCAAGCCAATGGAGCTGTGCATATGCAACCAAGGGCAGAAATGGATTGCTTAGATTGAGGCTTTGCTTGCAGAATGCTGGAAGGTGTGGATCTTCCCAACTATATTTTGTATTAAAAAGGAAATCTGGGTTTCCATCAAACCTACTGATCTAATTGTGACAGCCAGTAGCCAATCCAGCACTCTGATCACTTAAGCATTCATTAGCTCTACTAGGAAAGGCCTGATGGAGGAGGAGAGTACTTAATTGCCTAAGCAGACTGGGGGTTTATGAGCTAAGGAGCTAATTATCCCACCTGGTGGAGAGGCTAGTTAAATGCACCGAAAGGAAGTCCAAAGGAAAAGGCTAGCAATGCTCAGAAGAATGATCTCAGGAGGATAAGAGTTCTTTCTCTTTTGGGAGAAAAGGTTGAGGAATAGGAAAAGCTGTAAATAGACTTGCTGTATATGACTGTGATTGTGGTTTGGTAAGGGTAATAAATAAACACATAAATAATAACCAACTAGAAGGCATCCGAGGCTGTTTGTGAGAGACATGAGAGGTGTTTGCTTTGGCTGTTACAGCAATCAAACAATTTTCTGTTGGGTGTAGCCTTGTAGTACCTGAAACTCTTCTTGGTGGACCAGATTGACTAGTAGGCTGATTTGCCCTAAATGAGCATTAGAAATCTGTCAAGGCCAGTTTAGCAACACAAAGCAGTCCGGGAATAGTGGTGAATCTGGCCCTATGTTTCTAAAATGTTTTTTATAAAAAAACTTTATTTTCCTCCTGTTCACTGTCTTTTCCCTGCATAGTAGCCAAATGCATGACAGTAAACTTTAACACAGACAGATGTTCAATGGCTGAAAAGGGTACTATTATTCTAAATGAGACCATAGGAGTTAGTTGGTATCAAAATTTTTACCAACAAAAGAAATGCAAAGCAGAGCTGCACAGAACCACACTTACTGAGGGCTGCCTGTACTGTTATAGCTTCAGATTCTTGAGAATTTTCGCTGACTCCCACAGCATTCGCAGCTTTCACACGAAAGATGTAATTCTCTCCAGTTGTCAGACCATGAACCACAAACCTGATTTAAAAAAAATCATCAAATATTTGTTTTTCACTTTAAATAATCTGTTAAGGTTACATGATTTAATATTCTGTGCCACTTACTACGGGTGAGATAGACATAGATTTCTGATAAAAGGAAGGGCTATATTATTAGAGAAAATGCCTTTTTCATCCACAGGAAAATGTCAATGAAAACGAAGAATTTTTGCTCAACCCTCTGAAATTTTTTCAGCTTTCAAGTTTTTGGTTGCTTGGTGAAAATTCCCTCTTCCCTCCCCCCCCCCCCCCAAAATCATCAAAGATGGACATTTCCCATAAAAACTTCCATTTCCAGAAAATATACATTTTTCATAGAAAATGTTTTGTTAAAAAGTTTCCAACCAGCTCTGTACAGTATATTAATATGCAATAGATTTCAAAATATCTGGATACACAGAGGTATTACCAGTACCTATTATATTTAATAGGTTTATGATTGCAAGGTTCCCAGTGGTTTGTTCCCACCACAGAAGTATCAATATAGTAGCCAAACAGATCTTCTTCGTGTTTTGGCTTGTCCCACTGTACTACAACTGATGTTTTTGTATTTCTTGTTGCCAGTACACGGCCAGGAGCAGATGGGACACCTATGCAAAACAGAAATAAAAAAGGGTCACTATGTTTATAGTAATGGCTATATAAACAAGTAGTGACTAATTCAACTAGATACAGCATTGTCTACTTTCTGACTAGCTGTGACTTTTTCTATTAATTTTGTTATGTGATACATTGGCATGGCTCCTGTATTGTAAGTAATTCATATGCCTGGCTATTCCTATTACATACTGCAGTGCTTTATTGATTTTACTTACATTTATAAAGTAGGCTCACTTAAAGTTTCTTCTCTTTGAAGGAGTATCTCAGTATGAGAACGAACACTTGCCCTTACAATGAATACTAGCAGAAGAATTTTTTTAAATGCACCCACTATAGTATTATTGAACCTATCGGAAGCAAATGAAACTTCCAAAAGTACAAATACTACAAAAGTCAAAGACAGTAGGAAAAACTACTTTCGAAACAACTGATAAGGCCCTGATTTAGGAAAGCATTGCTATTCACTACAGCAGGTAAGCACATGCGTGAAGTTAAGCAAGTGCTTAACTGAACTTAGTTAAATGGGGATGGATTCCCTGAATATAGATAGACTTAAACCCTGAACAGGGGCCTGAATATCTTTATAGTGAGGTGAAATTCACCTCTGTGCTGAAGGTCTGCACAAGGTCTATGCACCAAGGAACTCCCACTTATAGCCTCAAAATATGGGACATAAGTGGTGCATGGAGCTTGTGCACAGGAGTAAATTTCACCCATCAGTGAATAATAGCTCACAAAGCTATATAAGTAAGAGGATCAAGTGACTGTAGCCAGAACTGTAGCAGGCAGCACAAAACTAAAGAAAGAAAATGGACACAATTTGTGGTCTGTTAGTATTTAAACATAACAATACCTTACATTTACACAGTACTGCAGCTTGAATTGTAGGAAAGTTAACCACAAATTCCAGCTCAGGTAATTAAATTCTGCCTACCTAAAATATTCTTGCAGTTTCAATTGAAATTATATCTTTCACTTCCTGTCCCAAACTGTGACTGTGCCATGGTCAGCAGTTCCTAGGTGTGAATGATTTTTAGAGCTGGGGGAAATAAATCCAGTATTTTTATTGCCTACCTCAAGGGAGTGTTCTGTGATTTAGAGTCAGAGTTTAAGGCCAGAAGGGACCAAGACTGACCTCCTGTACATCACAGGCCACCAACACCACCCAGCAACCAATAGACCCAATAATCAAAATTAGACCATGGTATTACAGCTCATAGAACACTAGACTATTTTGTGCCACAGGCAGAAAATAGAAAGGATCCGAGATGCACCAGTGCCCGAGGCCCCCATAATGTCAGGGAAACCATTTAAGTATTTTATGTTTATTAAGTAGGTATAAATCAAAGCTACTATAGAAGTACAAACACAAAATATTTTTATTTCATCCCAAATGATCTCAAATTATCTTATAGATGGTGAGCTGAATTTTTAAAACCCTGTTTGATATAAGTCAGTATCTATTAGCATTTACTATATTGTGCCATACATATTAAATAATATAGTTGTTTCTTATTCTTTAGTAAATATATTGAAATACTGTGATATCTGAGTTCCATAATGTGGCAACTGGTGTTTCCTGTTTGTGACCACTGTTAAACTGAGTATACAACCACACTTTTGAACACAAAGTAGGTAACTGGTCCCCTAAATTCCCATTTGCATGTGTAAATGTGGGATCCAAGTATACAATTTAGGTGAATGTTGAAAAGTAACCGCTGTGTGTGCAGATATATCTTCAACTATCACTGAAATGCAGCCATCTGTGAAAAATTGGAATTCTGCACCAGCAACAATCCTCAACAGGGTTATTAGGAAGGGAAGGAAAGGCTATTTTATCTAACTGAAACTACAGGGAAATTAAGGTAGCCTATAATTACCTAAGCTGGAGTCTGGCCAGGACATCTAGTCCTACTTTTGTAAAAATTCACATTAATAAGCACTGTTGAAGAACAACCAACTGAAATTAGTTTTACATTTTAACACTTCCATTACCCAGCAAAAGGAGATGAAATAGCTATGCAGAATCACAAATGCTACAAAACCGTGGCATGTTGGTCATCCTAGATTCCTTGTGAAATTCTTAAAAATGCAGCTGTTTATACAATTCAATTTGATTATAATGCACACTTTAATTTTTAAAAGCATACTTTATTTGCATTTTTTAAAGTATCAGTGGCATTTACTATGTCGTCTTACCAATGGTCTCTTGTGCTTGAATTGGTGGTGTTGTTTCAGAAGGATCGCTAATGCCATGCTTGTTTGCTGACAAGACTCGGAAAACATATGATTTTCCTTCTGCAAGATCAAACACTGCATAGCGAGGAGATCTCACTGCAACCTGGGCATTGACCCTTTGCCAGCTTCCACTGCCAACCGCAGACTACCAAAAAATAAAGATGATGATTACTTCAGAATTGTTAAAGAAGTGGGCATGTTGGATACGTTCATGAATCTGGTGTAAGAAATTAAAACAGAGAATAGTTTTGGAACGGCTCATACTCATACACGCAGTTACTTGAGTTCCGACTGACAGCCTGTCTGGGTCTATCTAAGCATTTATATTATGCAGAACACTATGGTATCTGAGTTTTTTAGTTAAGGACTAGATTGTGCTATTTGCATGCCCAGAGTAGGGGATAGAACATGAGTGCATAGTCCCAGGGGGAGCATTGGGAGGCACTGTGCCTAAAAGAGAAACTTAATTTCTCTTAGGGCCCCCTGTTGCACTGTGGGAAGTAGTGAGATCTTATGGAATGCAACATAAACCCTGCATTGCCATGCAGCTAAGTTGGTTGGGGGAGACGGGGCAGCAAGGGCAAACCTATAGCATCTCAGGTGCAGCCCCTACAATCCCTTGAGCACACAGAGCTAAACTGCAATGCAAGTAGCCCCAATACAGAACCTGTAGATTTCTTACTCCCTACCACACCTTTTCACACTCTATAGAATCAAGTCACAACCATACCCTGCGTTTTTAGACTTTCACAAGATAACCAAACTAGTTTTGAATAATTCAATAGAATATTAGCTGAGCTCTGTGACAGAGACAGCAATTTCCTGCAATACCCTGGACAGACCTTATTGAGTTGAGTTAGATCTTACTATATTAAGTTTATGTATCACTGTGGCCCAGGATTGTATGGGGAGAGAGAACACAATCCTCCAGGAACTAAGAACACTGGAGCATGATTTGGCAAATTCATTCGGGTTGTAACACTTCCCAAGGGGCACCACAGCTTGGAAAGACTTGCATATACTGATTCAGACTGGATTCTCTAGAGTCCAGCAAACAAAGAAATGACACTTTGGATCAATTAACTGGAGTTTAAACTGACTCGCGATCTTCTTTCTGATCTAGAAAATGGCCGGGACCTTCTGTCCACAGGAAAGAGTTTGAAGGTCTGACACTGACCAGAGTTCTTGTTGGACTTGGGGTGATCTTTGGTAGGCTTATTAACATGCCTGTCCATTTTTTTATATAGTTTTTAATGTTTTCTCTGTAATGCTTTTACCTCAAGAATAAATGTGCTTAGAAAGAGCTGTGTGGTAACTTAGCCGTGGGTGATTACACTTTTTATAGCCTCTGAAGAGAAAAGCAGAGCAGGTCTGATTAGGCATTCTGACTTGGCTGGGGAATTCTCAGTGTCAGCAGAGACCTATGCAGCCAGGAAATATCCTGGTCAGGAGAGGGAAAAATTCATGTCTTTGAACAGAGGGGTGGATGGCTGGGGAGCCAGAAGACTGAGAGTAGGTGCCCTTGGTGGACCATCTGGGGGGGAGGGGGAGAAACACAAGTACAGTTGCCCTGAACAGTGATGAGCTCGACTACTGTCTTTATTGCATATGGAAGAGAGCCCAGACAAAGCTCCAGGAAGCAAGCACTCCGAGAACTCTTTTTGCCATTAATTTCTTAAAATAAACTGTTGACCCAGAATAAACTGAGTCATAGATTATTTCAGTGGCTTTAGGAAAACTGAATTGTCCAGTAGGCAGTTTGAGTAAAACCGCCTTAGGACACACAAAGACAGGTGCATAAATGTGAATTTTTCATGGGGTTATATGAACAGAAGATTTTAAAAGAAAAACCACTTAGATTGTACACTCCTTGAAGGCTAGATAGTCTTTCGTGACTGTTTGAAAAGCACCTTATATAAAATGGGCACTACCACAAATGAATAATAAAAAAGATAAAATACCCAAAATCCATATTTTTAAATCTCTTTAGTGGATACTGCACTTGCACATTGTTCTCTATAGAAAAAAAACAACTTTTTTCTCTTTAATAAAAAGGTGCAAAATATGGAAAGAATGTTATTATGCTGCATATTTGATATGTCAGTATTGAGCCTGGACTTGAAGGAATTTAATTGTGCATGCTTCAATGTGACTGACAAGACAAAAATCAATGTACCATTTTATACTTAGTTATAATTTAAAATCCAGATATATTTTATTGAATTTTTTAAATGTTACTCTGCTCTGGAATTAATCTGTCTCAGCATTTCTTGTGTACTTGGGTAGCAGGTATTGTTTTTCCCTATAGTTATACATTTGGGAGAACCCCACCTGGGTTTTGTGTTTTGTTAGACCTTTAAACATTCTTTTTCACTGTTGATTATGATGATTGTTCTAAATTTTAAAGATAAATTAATTTTAAAGTTTATATATCTAATCTAATAGATGTCTATGCTATGTAAAGGATAAAGATTCCTGTTTCAATGAATGGATTACTCACATAAGAAAGAACTACTCACATGAGTAAGGATTTGCAGGTTGGGCATTCATTTGCATAAAGAACCCTTGTTCTATTAGCTTTTTAGTTCTCAGTCTTGCTTTCCTTTAGTAAGTTTTGTATTTAATGAATTGTTCATTTGTCCTATTGCCTAGTGTCTGTTCATGTATGTTGTTTCTGTACTTGTAAAACATATTCAGTAAATCTTGTGCATATGAATATTACCACATGGACATTTAGAGTGAGATTGTGGGTACACTCTAGAATAGAGGGGTTATGACTTCATATTATTTGAATTTGCATAGCTTACAATCTAAGTATAAGGCAAGAGACAACAGATGTGTTCGGACAGACTAATGGGAGATTACACTGAAACAAAAAGAGACAATATTGGTCAGCACAATAAGCAGTGGTATAAGAATACCAGTGGCCTAAAAATTATCAAGTTTTTTGTAGGCATCACAGCAAAGGAGAGTTTTAAGTAGGGTTTTGAAAGAGGATAATTAATTAGTTTTGCAGCTATTAATGGATAGAGCCCTGCACGGATACAAAATTTGTATCCACATCTGATCCCCAAAAATGATCCACGGATTTGCAGGGCTTTATTTATGGGGATCTTTTCCCACGCATGAGGGACAGCATGGGAGAAAGCATGAAGATGCTTGTTTGACTATTTAGCAAGTGGGTGATGAAAGCTGGCATGATGGGTCAATCCAAGGTGAGAGTCGACATCTCAATAGCAAATGAGAGATGATAGATAGGATGGAAATAGGGTGTGAAGGGCATTGCAAATGAAGACAAGCATCTTATGTTTGATGCAATAGAGAAGGAGGAGCCAGTGGAGAGATGGATACAGAGGCATAACGTGGTCAAAGCAATGGTCTCAAAAAATGATCTTTGCGTCAGTATTCTGAATGGGCTATAAGCAGGGCAAGATAGCATTTTTCAAGGCCAGAGGAAAAAGATATTGTAGTAAATTGAGATTCAAGATGAGACCTTGACCTTGGATGAGAGTTTTAGCAGTGTGGATGGACAGCAAAGGCCGTATCTTAGAGCTATTATGCAGAAACATCTGCACGATTTAGACAGACTGGATGTGATGACCTAGAGCAGAGGTTCTCAACCATTTTTTACCCAGGGACACCTACACTTAAATAGACAAACCTGTGGACCCCCCAACTCTCCTCTCATTATTTTGTTGTTCACAATTTGTTTCTTTCATGTTACTTTAATAGTTATCACAAATACTGCTGTAGAGAAATTATTATTATTTTAACAGATCAACAAAAAACACCACTAATTAAAATATTGACAACTTACCAGATACTAATAATAAATTACAACATTGCTAGGTGATATATGGGGATATCTGGGGGGTGTTGGAGGGGTGTCTGTGTACTGGGAGGATGCTGGAGGAGTGTGTGTTTACAGGGAGGAGATACCTGGAGGGTGTTGGAGGGGGTACCTGCAGCCTCACACTCAAGGTGAGGAACAGTGTTGCACTCCCTGTCATGGTGGCAGGGCGGCTGACACAAGTCCAGAATTCAGCTCCAGTCTGTCAGTCAGTGCCTCCCTGTGGGCCTCTCCCACTCCTCTGGTCCTGTCACCCCTCCCAGCCAGGCTCTGAGGCCCTGCAAGGGGTGTTTGCCAGCTCTGCTTACCTAGCAGGCTGGGGTGGGAGGGATCTGATAGCTGCAGCTGCAGGGGAGGGACCAGAGATCACTGCAGAGGAACATTCTGGGGCAGGGCTGGGCCAGCCCTGCATGGTGGGGCTCAGGGAGAGAGCACCACCTCCACCCCTGACTCATCTCAGTGGGCTTGAGCATCAGAAAAGGAGAAGCAGCCCCATGTAGCAGGGGAAGGGGTCCTCAGCCATCCTGCTGCTTCCCCTCTCCCTGCTCTGCCTGGACATGCAGTGAGTGTGGCTGCTGGGAGAGCCACTGCCTCTTCACTGCTGGGCATTCTGGCAAGAGGTGGCCCAAGGCCTTGCCCACCCCCAGTGCCCTGTGGGGCAGAGTCAATGACATCCCCTCTGGATGGGTCCCCTCAGAAGGCAGAAATTTGGGGGTGGGTCATGTGACTGCATGCTTCCCTCCCCACCCCCCACGCATCACCTCCAGGAGGGACCAATCAGTTTCCAGACCCCCTTCATTATAGTGGTGTATCCCTAAGGGTCTGCAGACCACATGTTGAGAACCACTGACCTAAAGAGCTCAAAGTTGAAGATGATGCTTTGGTTACAGGCTTGAGTGACAGGCAGGATGGTGGCATGGTCCACAGTGATTGAGAAAGGAGGTAGCAGGGACAGCATGGAACAGAAGATTCAGAGTTCTGCTGTATCCATGTTGAGTTTGAGCTGGTGGCTAGACATCCACAAGGAGATGTCAGGCTGAGATTTTAGTTTGGACAAAAAGAGACAGGTCTGGAGTAGAGAGGTAAATTTAAGAGTTGACAACATAGAGATGATATCTGAAACTGTGTTTGTGGATGGGATTACCCAGATATAAGGTGTAGAGGAAGAAGATAAGGGGACCAAGGACAGATTCCTGTGGAACTCCACAGAAAATTAGATGGGAATGAGGAGGATCCTCCAAAGGAGATGTTAAAGGACTGATTAGAGAGGTAGGAAGAGAATCAGGAAAGGACAGAGTCACAGAAGCCAAAGGAGGAGAAGATTTCAAGAAGAAGAGCATGGTTGATGATGTTGAAGGCAGCCGGCAGGTCAAGAAGGATGAGGATGGAGTCCTGGTTCTGAGCTTTATCTAGGAAGAGGTCAGTAGAGACTTTGGGGAGGATCATTTCAATGGAGTCCAAGGGACAAAATCCAGATTGGACAGGGTCTAGCATATAATTGGAGAAGAGACACTCCAGACAGTGATTGTAAACAGCATGTTCACTGAGTTTACAGATGAAAGAGAGAAGAGAGATGGGGTGGTAGTTGGAGAGGCAAGTGGGGTCAAGAGTGTGGGCATTTGTTTTTAAATGTGAGATACCAAAGCATGCATGCATGCATCATGAAGAGAAAAAGCCAGAGCAGAGTGAAAAGTTAACGGGTTGAGTAAAACAAGGGATGAGAGTGGGCACAAGGGATATCAGGAAATGGGTTGGGATGGGGTCACTGGAGCAAGTGGAGGAGTTAGGGGAGGACAGCATATGAGAAACTTATGTGCCAATGACAGGGAAGAGGGAGGCGAGAGTTGGAGGCGAAGGGAAGGTAGGTCACATATTGTTTTCTCCGTTTTCACCAATGAGATCCTCTGTGGAGACAGAAGTGGAATCAGGAGGAGGACAGGGTGTGGGGAGTGAGGCAAAGGTGGTGAACTATGGCTAGGATTTTTGACATTAGATTCAGTTAAAGTTTGAGAAGGAGAGCTGTTTCATTAGGAAGATGGCAGAACTGAAGGAGGAGAGACTGAATTTGTAGTGGAGGAAGACAACCTGGTCATGGGATTTCCACCTGAGATGCTTCACAGTGAGACAACAGGAGCAGAAGCAGCAGATGTTGGGGGTGATTTTCCTTTGCTTACCAGCACAGGCTGTCTGTATCATGGATAACAGAGCAGGAAGGAGAGCAACCACCACCAGGTAGCAAAACCTCCTCCTGCTCTGGTGGACAGGGAGTGAGCATGCAGGAATGGGGAATGGGTGGAGCTTTGGCTCCTCTCCCACTTCAGTGTACAGGCTAGCACAGTTCAGCCACTGCAGAGGGGGAAGTAAATTGCACCAGGAAAGGGGCTGGCACAGCTTATTTCCTCTATGGAGAAAAGGAGAACCAGGGACCAAACTGTGAGCCACAATTCAATCTCTGCTCTGCTGCTGGGGAAGGGAAACTATGTGTTGCCCCTTAATAAGGGCAGATTGCAAAATGCCAGTGCCTTGAGGGAGGAGAAGGGTAAGGTGCTGCTCTCTATTAAATTGCTACAGTACATCGTAGTTTTGTTCTCATTTTTCATAGCAGTAACAAAATAGCACAGAGGCAATTTTTTATGGCTCTTGAACTTCAAGACCCATTAGATCACATAACAACATATTCTATTGTCAATGCCTTCTCTAAAGACCCACCGTCAAGTCCTGCGAGACCTCAGTGAGTGCTAGTTTTATTGTTCATTTTGCGGCTCCGAAAATGATTTGAATTAAATTGTACATGGCTTGCAGCTCAATGCAACTATACAGTACCTTCTCAATGAAATACATTAATGGCTCTTTGCCACGGGGAACAGGTGGCTCCCAGCTGAGTACAACATATGTTTTGCTGGTTTCTGAAGCATGTACATTGGTGGGAGGTCCTGGAATCTGAACATCGCCTGGAGGAGTAATAAACTTAGTCAGTGTTAAACCACAGATTAACCCCAGGTCAGCATTTATGCTACAGCTCATCTTTCCAAACTCAAGTCTATTAAAAGAACAGGAGTACTTGTGGCACCTTAGAGACTAACAAATTTATTTGATACAGACTAACACGGCTGCGACTCTGAATCAAGTCTATTAAGGGCTATAGTATCAGCTTTACAGTTTAATAGTTTGCGTCATTTCTATTTTGAGGCACTAAGCATGCGAATTACAAGTGGGGTATTTATTTTCACAACCAAAGTAAAATATTCAATAGCACATAGATAGAAACTTTACATTTGTCTCATGATTTTTCCTTGATCACATTTGAATTACAGGTCTGTCTCATCTTACACGGGGGTTCCGTTCTGTGGTTAGCGCATAAAGCGAAAACTGCGTATAGCCAAAACCCCATTGAGTTCAATGGCGGGCGAAATCACCCACACTATAGGTATAGTATTAAAACTGTTGTTTTTCTCTTTTTTGTTGTTGTTTTTTGTTTTTGTTTTTGCCGACCACGTAAAGTTGAAATCGCACATGTTAAATGCGCATAAGATGCGACAGACCTGTACTTTAATCTGCTGTGCCAAATGCCTTGGCAAAACCTACTCACTATATGCATATAAAAGAGATGTTTGATCAAACTGATGAGTCCAAGAGTTACTACAGAAAACAGAACTAGAAGGAGAATTCACTCAAAAGACTGGAGCATTTAAACACAAAAGGAACTTCGTGTAAAGTGGGCAGGAACAAAAGTATTCATGATATCTCCTACATATGGGTGACATGACTAGTCAATATAATTTAGAGCAGCCATACAGGCTCAGGATCAGAGGAGTGCAAATGCATTGAACAGCCACCTTGTTCCTACCTTCACAGGCCATTATGCCTTCTGGGGATCAATTGGAGTGCAGCAGTGGTCTAGCCTCACCCTTTTCTATTGCCACACCAAGGGCTGCAAGGATAGTGGCATAGAGCCAGTATAGCTCAGTGCCAACCTGAGGAAATCCTGAATTGCCCAGTTAGGGCAGCTTTAGGGCCACTCTGTGTCACTGTAGAGATACAAACGGGCTAGGATCTGTCTCAATGGAGTTACACACTGGTGTAATGAGGAGCAAGATCAAGGCCTATCAACGTCACCTTCAATCATATTTGTTTGGCTCTGAATATGATGTCAACAGGCAAAAAGTTCAGAAATGGTAATTCAACAGACATCCATGCACATCCTGTTCTCCTGGCTTAAAACGTGCAGTGTGCTGTGGCTTTTGTTTGTGATTTTTAAGGTAATTATGTCATTTTCTTTTTCTAAATGCAAGCACAGTGCACAGATAAATGCTTAGAATTTGAAATTTAAAAAAAGAGAAAACATCTCTTCCAGATAACAATATTAATCATGAAAATGAATCTTTAGGTGATTCTAAGCAATGTCGCTAGATCTGTGAGCCAGCCTGCTATGTAGTTGAAGCTATTTTATCTTTTATGATACTTTTTTCTCCAATCAAAATCAGAAGCTTTGAAGTTTGCATCCAACAATTGACATCATTTATTGTCGTTCATAATGTATTTTTATTTGTTTGATCCTCTGCAAATGTGACTTGCATTCTTTGGATAAACACTTTGATCTGTTGAGCTTAAAACACATGCTGAAGTATCGTAAATAAAATTATTTTAAGCTCTAAAATATCTATTTTCAGCAGAATGAATCAGGATTGAGCCAAGAGGCTCCCGTGAACATCAGTAGAATTCACATAGCTAAATCCCCACAGTGTGTGGTAAATATTCACCCCTTAGAATTCCAAAGCTGACATCATATGTAATGTAACAACCTCTCCTTACAGATTGCAAGATCATCCGACACTGGTAGGGAGATAAATTATGTGATCTAAGGAGCCAACATTTTTAAAGCTAGCCTCCAATTTTACAGATTTAAGTAATTAGGTTTATAATTAATAGCATTCAGATATCTATATTCCTGGCTAGTATCCACAAGTCAGGTATTTAGAAATCTAAATACTCTTGCTGATGCCTGCAAAATTCAAAATACAAAGCCCTGGGCCTGATTCACTTCTCACATAGATGTAAATTGAAGTCACTGGAGTTGCACCAGCGTAAAACCAGTATAAGTGAGGAGAGCCCTCTGATTACGTGATCTTGTGTAACAGCTATGGCTGTAAATTAATCGCAGTTAACTCAAGCGATTAACATAAAACAAATTAACTAGATTAAAAAAATAGTCGCAATTAATCAGTTTAATCGTACTGTTAATAATAGAATACCAATTTAAATTTATTATAAATATTTTTGGATCTTTTTCTACATTTTCAAATATATTGATTTCAATTACAACACAGAATACAAAATGTACAGTGCTCACTTTATATTTATTTTTATTACAAATATTTGCACTGTAAAAAACAAAAGAAATAGTATTTTTCCATTCCCCTATTACAAGTACTGTAGTGCAATCACTTTATCATGAAAGTTGAACTTACAAATGTAGAATTATGTACAAAAAAACCTGCATTCAAAAATTTAAAAAATGTAAAACTTTAGAGCCTACAAGTCCAATCAGTCCTACTTCTTGTTCAGCCAATTGCTCAGACAAACAAGTTTGATTACATTTGCAGGCAATAATGCTGCCAACTTCTTGTTTACAATGTCACCTGAAAGTGAGAACAGGCGTTCGCATGGCACTGTCATAGCTCGCGTTACAAGATATTTATGTGCCACATGCACTAAAGATTCATATGTCCCTTCATGCTTCAACCACCATTCCAGAGGACATATGTCCATGCTTCTGCTCAGTAACTATTCAAAATAGTGCGGACCAATGCATGTTCATTTTCATCATCTAAGTCATATGCCACCAGCAGAAGATTCATTTTCTTTTTTGGTGGTTTGGGTTCTGTAGTTTCTGCATCAGCGTGTCGCTTTTTAAGACATTTGAAAGCATGCTCCACACCTCGTCCCTCTCGGATTTTGGAAGGCACTTCAGATTCTTAAACCTTGAGTAGAATGTTGTTTCTATCCTTAAAAATCTCACATTGGTTTTGTCAAATCTGCAGTGAAAGTTTTCTTAAAATGAACAACATGCGCTGGGTCATCATCCAAGACTGCTATAACATGAAATATATGGCAGAATGCAGGTAAAACAGAGCAGGAGGCATATAACTCTCCCCAAAGAGTTCAGTCACAAATTTAATTAACGCATTATTCTTTTAATGAGCATCATCAGCATGGAAGCATCCTCTGGAATGGTGGCCAAAGCATGAAGGGGCATATGAATGTTTAGCATATCTGGCATGTAAATACTGGCAATGCTGGCTACAAAAGTGCCATGCAAATGCCTGTTCTCACTTTCAGATGACATTGTAAATAAGAAGCAGGCAGCATTATCTCCCGTAAATGTAAAGAAATGTGTTTGTCGTAGTGGTTGGCTGAACAAGAAGTAGGACTGAGTGGACTTGTAGGCTCTAAAGTTTTACATTTTTTAAATTTTTGAATGCAGGTTTTTTTGTACATAATTCTACATTTGTAAGTTCAACTTTCATGATAAAGTGATTGCACTACAGTACTTGTATGAGATGAATTGAAAAATACTGTTTCTTTTGTTTTTTACAGTGCAAATATTTGTAATAAAAATAAATATAAAGTGAGCACTGTACATTTTGTATTCTGTGTTGTAATTGAAATCAATATATTTGAAAATGTAGAAAAACATCAAAAAATATTTAATAAATTTCAATTGGGATTCTATTGTTTAACAGTGCGATTAAAACTGCAATTAATCACGATTAATTTTTTTAGTTAATCCCATGAGTTAACTGCGATTAATCAAGAGTCCTATTGAAAATGTAAAAAAAAAATTCAAAAATATTTATAATAAATTTAAATTAGTATTCTATTAACAGTGCAATTAAAATTGCTATTATTTGCGATTATTTTTTAACCATTTGACAGTCTAGTAACACTGTCATTTCATTAGTAACAAACATTGTCCGAATCAAGAACCTTGAAATTTTCCATTGTGCAGTTCAGAATGCCTACAAACAAAGGTATCTCAAATCTCTTAGCCAGCTTCTCCATTCCATTACATCAGTTTTACATGGGTATAAACTCCACTATGTCACACTATCAGTGCAGTTGCACCACTTTTATACTAATGTGAGAGTGGTTAATCAGACCCTTTTATCTTCAACAGTATTCAGCTATCCTAGTTAACATTTGTATCTTGCTAGGCAAAGTAAGCAGCACAAATACTCTACAAGAACAAAATTGCAGGTAGAAGGCATCTAGGACCTCATCCTGAGAATTACTGAGAATCTCTAACTCTTACAGACATCATTGGCTGTGGCAAACACTTAGCACTTCTCAGGAAAAGTATATCTTTGAATAAAGATGGATTTAATGTACTTCCATTAAAAATGGCAAACACAATGTTTACCAGACCTTCAAATTTTGACCAAAAAGCCACACTAGGCTCATAGATAAGGATGAGAAATAAATTGGCAATAATCAAACACAAGATTCAGCTGTTTAATCTCAGATTGTGACTACTGAAAGAAAGGAGAAATGCATAATGAAAATGGCACAATCAAAAGCATGAATCTATCCCACCCCTCAGACTTTTGCCTGTGTTGATGTTATCTTGGGCTTGCAGACCTGAATATCTGCATGTATTTAATTTTATTAAGAGTTGGCTCACTAGGTGGATTTTTTTTTCAAGACCTCATGTTTCTAATTATAATCTTAAATTCCTTGGATATAAACAGATGAAATGAAATCATGGTAGAGCTACATACCTTCAAGGTCATCCTGATATATTACAATGTCTCTGCCTCCATCCAGATGAACAGCTGTAGACCAAAACATTCATTTACAGTTAGTTCTCTATGCAATAAAGTGTAGTTACAGATTTTGAAGACTATCTTTTATCAGTGCTGATAAACACTTGTGTAGTGTCTGCTATGTCAACTGTGGTATTACAGCTTTGTACATATGGATTCTCATTCATTGTTACACACTGATTCTGCCACCTTTATTCACACTGACTAGTGCTCACTCACAAACAATAAGAGACCATTTAAAGATTAACTGAAAACCAAGAATCATATTCTTAATTGATGGAATTGGTGCTGTGGCACAGTGGCAATGTGTGTTATCAACTGGACTTTTGAGGACTGGACATGAATGTGTGTGAGTAAGCTAACTGAGGACAACATGCTACAAGGAACAAGTGAACTTTTGGTCTTCATAGTGGGTGAAATTCACCCCTGGACAGAAGGCCAGCACAAAACAGAGCTTAAGTAGGGTGTCACAAATCCATAGCCATTGTGCTGACCCTTTGCATAGTGTTAAATTTCAGTCAAAGTGAATGTTAATCTAACTGCTCTCCAGCAGGTACTATGGCCTATAACTTGAGCAGCACTGATAGTGTTCCCTTACAGACCAGAATATAAGGAGTGCCCAGCGTGTGATAGAAGAGCAATATGCAGTCAATGGCTGGCCTCTGCCTGTAACAACTGGATGTGAAAAAATAGAGGATAGACTGTAGGATTTTACTGCTAGTGAATTCAAATGACAAGCAAATTCCATTCAGCTAACACAGACATATAGAGTAATATTTTCAAAAGTGACTTTAGTCCTGATTTTTAAAGGTATTTAGGCATTGCTCCACAGCACCTTTGAAAATGAGACATAGGGCCAGATTTTGAAAGCTATTTAGGCACCTAAATACCTTCCAAAACCTGGCCCTAATGTGTTGCAACACAAAGCAGAACAATATCTAAATATCTTTCAAAATCTGGCCTTTATGTGCTTTTGAAAATGTTACTTGTTACGACTTTAAGCATTTCTTTTACATTTAAAAATTGTGCAACTATATGTAAATGAATGGGCACCCTTGGGCTCTTGGCAAGTTGCCAGTGTGGACCTTGCTGTCACAGAGGGAGTGCCTTCATTATAATTAGCAAGTGGAGGAGCTCTGGAAAAGAATGGAAGCTGAAAAGCAGATCCAAAATGAAGAGGTTGGCACTGCCCATTTGGTTACCCACCAAATAAAGCAGAAAACAAAACCTTTCTTTCAAAAATTACAGTGTAAATGTGGAACAGCTTTTTAGTTGTTGCATTACCTACTTTGTAATCTGTCTAAGTCAACAGGATCAAGAGCTGCAACTGCTTCAGAAACTCTAGACGGCCTGCTAATACCCGACTTGTTCACTGCTCTCACACGGAATATGTAAGACCGTCCCTCAAACAGTCCAGTTACAGGGTATTTGCAGATTTTTAGTGGAGCATCATTGCACTGGACCCAGTTTTCAGTACCCACTTCACATCTAGGAGTAAGAAAAGGAGATCATTTATCATGCCAAAATGAGCATGTGCAATTAGTATTGTGTCTATTAATCAGATCCACGGCTGATTTAAATCGGTGTAGCTCCATTGACTTCCATGGAGCAACCCCAATTGATGCCAGCTGGGTATATGGCCCATAATACTTTATTACTGAGAGAAAATTAGTTGTGTTATATCAAAAGAAATAGTACACTAGATTATACACATAATGGGTGAAATTCACCCATGGTCTATGCACCATGTAAAGCCTTTTTTTTGAGTGTTTAAATGGAACTTAAATGGTCCATAGACATTGTAGAGCCCTCAACAGAGTGGTGAATTTCACCCTAGTGAATGCCATTTTAAAATCAACTTTTACCTACAGTTCCCAGAAGTCTGGGAGATAGGACATAACTACAGTGTATCAGATACAACAATGTAGCAACAGTGGGTAAATTGTTATTTTTAATATAGAATACTATATATACTGAAATTATAGCAGTAATATTTGTGTGTATAGTACATTGCTCATTTTAAATATGAAGGATGAGATGCTGGGCTTTGACTACAGCTGAGGAGCACTCATTGCAGGTCAGGAGGAGTGCAAAGATGGCCTTGGATTCCCCTAATCCTGACCTGCCTGTCCTGTGCATGACCTCCAACATAATTTAGAGCAGATTTCAGGAGCAAAAGGGCTATCGCATTGGCTTAAACTTCCAGTTGAGTAGTCCCCTGGTTTGGATGAATTACTGTCTGGAGTACACAAGCACCAGTTTAAGATAACATGAAGGAGAAGGGGGCATGGCTGGAGCACTGCTTCACTCAATGCCCCCCAGCAACTGGAACAACCCCTTGAAGGCTGCTCCATCAGGGTGCAAATTAGAACAGCCCTAACTTGTTCCAGAAACTATAGTGGCCCCAAATAGACTCAGTATTGGGGTGCAGGGCATAAAAATAGTGACTTTTTTCAGTACATACAGTTTGATACACAAAAAACAAATCCACAAATGTACACGCACACACACCTGTCAACAAAATATCCTATGACTGGACTCTCACTTGCTGTATTGGGTGGTTTCCAGGTTACAATGACATAATCTCTGTTAGCATCATAGCATTTAACATCCATTGGTGCCCCGGGTGCCCCAGCAATTAATGCGTCAGCATCTAGATCAGAAAAAAAATCAAATCAGAGTTTGCTACAATACTCCTCAGGTTTGGAGAGAGACTTCGTTGCTATAGCACAACAAAGATGAATTGCACAGATTGCCCAATCCATCTACTACTCCTGTTTTATGCCAGTGAGACTCCAGTGATTTCCATGAGGTTACATTGGAGTAACACAGTGGTGAAGCAAGCCCAGGGAGGTCTATCTATAGGTTTAGAAACCTGGGTGCAAATTTTGGAGGGTAGAAATTAGGCACCAAATTCTCACTAACTTTCAATAGGAGTTGAACAACTAACTTCCCTTTGTGCTTCTGAAAATCTCACCCCTCAGAAAGATGGATTTCAGTCACTCCTTGGTCAGAGAGAGGCACTCACTGAAGATCACGTGGTCAGGAAAAAGACATTTCCTAAGGCTACTTGGTGTGTGAGCGTTTGCTACATTTCTAAGGTTACTTCCTAATTCAAATCTTGAGATACAGACACTGATGAGTAATTAATGTTTCTTAGCTGAGACACCTATATGTGGCCTGATCCTAAGAAGTGTTGAGCGCCCACAATTCCTAAGGAAGCCTGTTAACAGGTGGAGTTTTCACCCTGCTAGGAAAGGCGTATACACATATTGGATAAATTCCAAACTTCCTCTTTCCTGGCTTTGTCTCTATTGTTGACAGAAACAACAACTACTCAACAGAAACCTCAATCGAAGCTTCTTCCCAAGTCTTGACTGTTCCTAAGGCTTTCTCTGCATATTCTCAGAGACATACTGCACCTCAAGAAACATCCACCTGCTGAAGTATTTATGCTGTATCTTTATGCAGGATTCTAGCACCTGAGTTTAGGGTGACTCAGAGAAGTCCTGTATCTCTGTCCACAACTTGCCACCCTATTGCAATGACAATGGTGTTGAGAGGTAGATTCCAAGACCAGGCCCCAGTATGATCCCACCCTTTGAAATTTCAGAACTATGGGCCTGATTGAACCCTTATGTTATATACACAAGAGGTTACCCTCTACCTTCAGATCACAGCCCACATGAAAAGAGAGGTCAGGTACCACCTTGGAAGTTTGTCTCCCCTTGGTATGGATCTCATGGAGGGCTCTCCACAAATCCAGGGACCTGTGAGTGGGAAGGGGTCAAAGTGTAGGTGTGGAAAGGATATGTTTATTATTCACCTACCTGCACAATGGAGATTCCCCAAGAAAGTTAATATGTTTTTCATGATCTTTCCCCCTTTGAAGTGGGATTCTCCTTCCAAGGGAGTGGACTAGGAACAAGGAAGCCCTAGTAACCTGGCTCCAGCGAGAGCAGGGAGTGTGGCTGACAGGAACAGATGATACATCTATACTACATTTTAAAACCCAGGGGGGCGAGTCTCAGAGACTGGGTCTACAGACTCAGGCTTGCATGGGTCATGCTATAGCATTAAAAACACCTCTGTGAATATTCAGGCACAGGCTGGAGCTTGGTCTCTAAAACACACCCACTCCTTGGCCTCAGAGTCTGAGCCCGAATGTCTACACAGCTGTTTTTAGTGCTGTAGTGAGACCCTGAGTCTGTAGAGTCAGGCTCTGAGACTCGCTGCCGTGGCGGTGGGGGGCGGGGTGTTAAAATGCAGTGTAGCCATAGAGCTAATGCAGTTTGTGCGCTAGCCACACAGGAAATAATGGACAGCCGGCCACCACCCGTATCCACCCACCCACCCACCCACACAAATGGAACTGTCTGGACAAAATCTTTGTGAGGAAGACCACATGCACATGCTGCTACACTTGTAAACAGAACAGGCCAGATCCTCAGTGGGAGTATATCTGCATAGCTCCCTTGACTTCGGTGGAGCTGCACCAATTTACAATTGCTGAGGATCAGAATTAAAGAACTGCACAGACAGAAACATACTCATTTTTAAAAACAAAAGAAATGTAGAGCCATGCTCTGCCCACAGATGCATGTGGGAGCTCAAGCTGAATCAGTGGGAGTTGTGAATGCAAATGTGAGGGTAAACTCTGACCTGTATTCTATTTTAATGTATTCCTCTCCTTTTCATCTATGTCTCTTGTGAAAAACACATTCCTTTGGCAAGCCAACGTTTTCCCTCTCTTCCCCAAGTGTTAAACAAAGTATTAGGCTGTGATTGGCTCTGGTACACTGAAGGGAGGGTACATAGAATCTTTCTTCCCCCTCCTAGCCACCCTCTGTGCAAGGGTCAGGCATAACCAGTCCCTGAACTTGAGAATGTAAATGGCCTGCTCCTGCCTAGTGAGCCCAGTAGCAAAAGCCAGCACAAAGAGAAGGGGTTGGGTGCAAGCACGTTCAAGGCTCTATGTGACAGAGTGTAGGGATCAGAGGGGTAGCCGTGTTAGTCTGAATCTGTAAAAAGCAACAGAGGGTCCTGTGGCACCTTTGAGACTAACAGAAGTACTGGGAGCATAAGCTTTCGTGGGTCAGAACCTCACTTCTTCAGATGCAAGAGTGTAGGGAGTTAACCAGTGAGCCTACACGCTGATCATTCTACACCAGTTAGTTCCCCCAGAAAAGGCAGACTGATGCAATTGAAGTTAATTATCTAATCAGGTGTGAGGGGTGGGTGAGCTAAAGAGCCAATTAGCCCATCAGCTGGAGACTGATAAGAAAGGCATAGGAAGGAAGGGGGAGAGAGGATCAGGCCTAGCTGAGGCAGAGACCTCATAAAAAGGAGACCTCTGCTCCTCTGGAGTCCTGAAAGTCCCAAAAGCATGGAGGACACTGTAAATAGCATTGCTGCATGGGACTGTAAAGGTGTTGGTGGAGGAAATGTAAACAAATGGCATGGTGTGGGTACACAACCATGGAGTCTGAGCAAGTTCCTGAGGTGCTAGGAGGCAGGAGCAGACAGCGCCCTGTTACGCTGTAGAGCACCAGTCAGAGAAGCTGGCCATCTGTGAAGAAAGGAGTAGGCTACACCATCATTAAGGATGGGCCCCTGGGGTCTCTAGAAAGGATCATATTTTCAGGAGCACAATCACAACTTGAGCTCCTCCTGGTGCAGTGTGACTATATTGTCCCTGACACAGACAGTGGATAAATTCCCCGTCTATATAATGCCATGCTTTGGATTTCTTATAGGCTTCCTTTATTATACTATGGTGCTAAATTAAATGACTTTTCCTAATTGCATTTGCTAAGTCTTCTCCCAACAAAGAATGAAAAGCATACCTCTGACAAACATGAATGCACTGTACTCAGTCACCCCTCCTTTTGTGATTATGCGCAGGGTGTATAAGCCTTCATCATCCTTGTTCAGATGCGTGAAAGACAGTGCTGCCTGGCCTTCTCCAAAGTACATTTTCGTCCACTTGGAGTCTTTTATTAGCACATCTGGAAGAGAATTGTGATCAAGCATGTGTCACTGAATTAGCAATAGCAATCTTCATCCAAGATCACTTCTGTGTTAATCAGTGGCACAGACTGCCATTTATGCGAGCTTTACTCAACATGTTAGTGTTTGTATGCTATGAAAATATTTATCTACGAGAACTAAGCTGTGCCCCTGCAAACTCATTTGACCAATGAGTATGGGAAGAGGAGTGTACAATTTAGCTATTCTGTGCTGTACCAATTACAGCAAAGGAAATGATTTCCCTTCACCATCATTTTTAATACACCGACAAGAAAATATTTTAAACCCCATTTTGAAACAATGCTGAAAATCTAAAGTACACAGTAACGACAGTGTGTAATGTTTATGCCAGGGGTCAGCAACCTTTCAGAAGTGGTGTGCCGAGTCTTTATTTATTCACTCTAATTTAAGGTTTCGCGTGCCAGTAATACATTTTAATGTTTTTAGAAGGTCTCTTTCTATAAGTCTATAATATATAACTAAACTATTGTTGTATGTAAAGTAAATAAGGTTTTTAAAATGTTTAAGAAGCTTCATTTAAAATTAAATTAAAATGCAGAGCCCCCCAGGCTGGTGGCCAGGACCCAGGCAGTGTGAGTGCCACTGAAAATCAGCTGCACGTGTGCCATAGGTTGCCTACCCCTGGTTTATGCTTTTAAATACACTTTTCTACCTATTCAGGTCAAATGTCAGATTAGTCAAATTTCTTTCTTTAACTTTAAAGACCAGATTTCAGTTTAATCTGAAGCCTTGCTGTAAAGATACACTGACTCTGAAACCCTCCAGGCATGCCTGCTGAGCAGCGAATCCAATTAAATCTGAATTTCTCACAGGTCAGAGGTGGCGCCCCACGATTAATGTAAATTAGCCTGATTGACTAGTGAGATGGGAGCAACTAAATGAGCAGAATATTTTATGATGACCAAGGAAGTCCCTCAGTCTCCTTTTCTTTTAATCACTGATAGGAGAACTTTTGATTTTTAACCCATTGAGTTCTATTATAATCAATGCAGCAGCATTACGTTCAAAGTTAAGCCACAGCGCTATGCTTGATTATTGCCCTGTTGCTCAAATACACTTTGGAGTAGATGTTCAAAAGGTTGCAGACAAATTATTGTAGCCAATGAATATATATACTGAACACAGAGCTGCACAGGGGGTGGAAAAAAAATGTGCCACGTCTTCAAGTGATAAAGCTGACAGTAAAGGACCGGGTAATGAATATCTGGCCATCAGCCTACATAAATTGAAGCAATACATTATTACCTAGGCATTTCTCCAAGCCTGATTCTTAAGGAAATATTTCAGGATTTGTACAAAGTAATTTCAGTGAGACCTCTTTCCAGCTCTTCATCATGAGCTCCTTAAATGACATTCCTACATTTACCCCTTTCTACTGCGTTTTGCACAGTTTGTGCTCACTGCATTGTATAAAGCTGTGTGAACAGTTTGGGGTGAAAGCTGAAAACCCCCCTGCAGCTAAAACTTTTGCATTTTCTTTTAATTTTTTTCCAATTTATGAAAAACTTGGAACAAAGTGATCACAATGAAATATAAGCCTGAGTGCTCAGCTCCTGTGAAAATCAGGCCACTTACTTAGGTGCCTGAATGTGGACATGGGTTCCTTCCTTTAGGCACTCAAATTTGAAAATGTAGGGGCTTCAGTGACTTCCCAAGCAAGGCCAGAGAGGGAGTCAGCTTTGGAGCCTAGAATAGGACTGAGGAGTTCTGTCTGTCAAGGCAGTTATGTGGTCTGCTATGACCATAATATCCGAGTTCCAGGCTCTCCGTTCTGAACTCAAACTACTAGAGTATGCCTCTTTCTCGATGTACTATATGCTATCAATTCCTCCAGAATCTGTTAGAGAATGAGTCTGGAAGTGCCAGGGATCTTGACTCACTCAAGATACCCTGAAAACTCAGAGCTCTGCCATGTGTTAGTCAGGCCAAACGTTCCCTACAAGTTGCAGCTTGTTTCTGTTGAAATCACATATGCACTGTTAGAAGTTACTGTGTTTGGGGGTTTTCCCTCACATTAATTTCCCATGTTACATATTATGTTCTGTTAAAATATCAGCCTAATTCTGCATTCTCACTTTTGTGTAAATCTAATGCAACTCTTGGACCTCCATGGAGTCCTTCAGATACCTGTATCAATGAATGAAGAATCGGACCCTACATCTTTTATAATTTATGTATTACTTTAGAATTTAAAAAAAAAAAATCTGCAACCAGCCAAAATCATATACAAACTGGATTTAGATGTACAATCTTCAATAATAATTTCAGTACAGGTTCTTTAGCATCTTAAACTGGTTTAAATTAAGGTAGGAATTTTAAATGTACTACTTATAGAGTCAGAGACTTGAAACCATTTCAGAGGATTTGATTCAACAGATTTACATATCTCCTAGAGTTAGTGACCAACAACTGCTCTGAAGTTTATTAATTTTGAATAAACACAAAATTATCTTGCGTATAATTAATATAAATAAACCACAGAGAACCATCTCAGGTCTTTAGTTGTCTATCATTTGCATAATAAAATAAAATTTAAGAAAAATAGAAATTATTTTAATACCAACCCAGAATTAAATACAACTTGTCTGAAATAATAGATGTTAGTCCAAGATTTCAGTTCAAGGCCAGAGTCCCTCTAAAACCAGAGCACTTTAAAAGATAGTCATCATGTTAGTTCTATTATTAACCTTCTAGACCCCCAAAATTTATGCAGTGGATCTCCTGGCCTAAAATTGTCACTGCCGCGATTTGAAGCATATAGCAGGTGTTCACTGCAATAACATAATAATCACATTAATCCCTGCTATTCTTAGGGAGAATCTCTGCCACATAAGCTTCCCCATGATGTCAGTGTGATACGCATGTGCGCATCAGAGGTCAGTTTTTACCACTAGTGTTCAATAGAACAATACTGTTTTATTTTTCATTAAATCATTTGGATATTGGACTGAAATCCTAGCCTCATTCAAGTCAAGGGCAAGACACTCACTGACTTCAGTGGGGCCAGGATTTCACCCCCAATCTTCACCTCAATGAGAATATTCTTATCTCAGTGCTTGAGGAAGTTACACCAACCGTACAAATCTTCACATATCTTAATGAGAATTAAGGGACTAAACCTACAGGCCCAAATCTTGAAGTCCTTTTCCAGTTTTCATAATTCAAGGATAATTCCCATTGAACTAAAAATTGAATACCATTGGACATCTGTTGGATACCTGCAATTCCAATTAGCTTCAGTGGCAGCTGATATAAATTTCAGGTGCTCAGCACCTTTCTGGATTGGGCCTAGTCAGAGTTTTGCCTGACTAACAATGTACAAACTGATGGCTGAAACAAGCTCCCAGTTCTGATAGTAACAAAAAGGCTTTGATGGGAGCAGGTTCAGCACCCAGAATACAGGCATCAAGTTTTGGCCCACAGTGAATAAAACTGTAGTTATTTTTTATTATTTGTATTGTGGTAGCACTGAGGAGCTCCAGTCTTGGAACAGGACCCTATGTGCTAAGAATTGACAAACCCAGAACAAAAAGGCAGTCCCTGCCCCCAAAGGATCAGGCATCTCCAGCCAAAACCCACTCTTGCTTTATGTAAACAAATAGTCTTGTATTTTTCCTATCTATCTTGTTTGCCCCATTGTTGTTTGTCACTTTCACACATACACCTTGGTGATGGTGAGTATTTCCATCAGACTGGCAGGGGCACAATTCCAGCAACAGTTGTGTGGGAATCCTTCCTCCAAAATGTGGGCACTTCAGAGAGAGGCTGCCCCAAGTGATCGTGACAACTGATCCACATTCTCACTACATCCAGGCTGTCCTCTTCAGAGTCTTGCCCGAGAATATCTGGGTACGTTGGTGAGAGAAATCTCTAGTGATCCCTCCTAACAGCCAATTAACATATTTGTATTAGTTACTTTTATGTTTTATGAATGATTTATTTAAAAATAAATATCCTTGCCTTCCTCCCCCGTCCCAAAAAATCCCTAAAATTACACCAATAGGTATAAATTAAAGAATGTTCATGCAGGTTTCTAACACACAGCCACCCAAAGAATTTCAGCCTGGACTGCACAATGGGAAGTCTTGGCTACTGAAGTGGCTACAAAACATTTGAATGCCTTTGTGGTTATGTTTCTCTGAGCACATGGGGCTGTTGCTTCACAAATGTCCTTCTCCAATAACCAGATTCCTTCTATCTATGCTCCATCACTATAGTATGTGATCACCTCCCAAGTATTTAAAAATAGAAATAACAACAAAATCATTCTGTGTCTCTTCCTTCCTAACTTGTAGGAGAAATGGAATTATTATTTCACAAGTATATTTAGTTGTTTGCTTATAACATTTGTTTGGATGAGAGCCTTTTTTCTGTGTCCACCTGTGTGTCAAGAGTTTAGCATGAAGAAGTCAAATTAACTATGACAGCCACCCAACAACCATCAAGAGACCAATGATATTCTGGGAGAGGGAGGCTTATTAGGGCCTTTGTAAATCTCCACAATTCTGAAACAATTAACATGATAGATGCCTCTTTCTCTGTAGGATGATGTGTGGTTGGCACTGCCTACAGGTACAGTAGAACCTCAGAGTTACAAACACAAGAGTTACAAACTGACTGATCAAACACACACCTCATTTAGAACCAGAAATACGCAATCAGGCAGCAGAGACAAAAAGCAAATACTGTACAGTACACTACTGTACTAAATGTAAACTACTAAAAAAATAAAGGGAAAGTTTAAAAAAAGATTTGACAAGGTAAGGAAACTGTTTCTGTTCTTGTTTCATTTAAATTAAGATGGTAAAAAGCAGCATTTTTCTTCTGCATAGTAAAGTTTGAAAGCTATATTAAGTCAATGTTCAGTGGTAAACTTTTGAAAGAGCAACCATAACATTTTCTTCAGAGAGTTATGAACAACCTCTATTCCCGAGGTGTTCGTGACTCTGAGGTTCTACTGTACCTATGCAAATCCTCAGCAGTTGAATCTGTGTCTTGACAGTAGACACTAAGTTCAGGCTCCTTCAAATTGCCCAGTTAGCGACTCCATAACTCTGTGTCCCTTACCTAGTTATTTTGGCACCTACTTCTTCTTACTCTTCAAACATGGTCATTTTGGACAACACTCACTCCAGCACGGTTGGACTATGAAGGAAAATATCTCTTATCTGAGATAGTCACAGAAGGTAAAAGAGATGTATTGGGAACTGTGTTACAATCAATCTTTTTTCTCTTAGGAAGGTGAATTCTAAGCCTACACACAGACTTGCGGGAAGGAATCTGCACCTGAACAATTAAAACTCAGTTACATGGAGGCATGTACATTATCTACATTATGTGCAAATCTACTTACCATCTCTGTACCATTCAGCACGAGGTCGAAGCCTAGTCAGATCCGGAGTGATCAGCAGAGCACATTTGAGGGTAACTGTTTCGCCTTCCATCCCAAAGGTGACACCAAACTTCTCCAAAAACTGAACATCAATATGGGTGAAGCAAACTTCTGATGGCAGGGGCACTGCACACAGAGAAATCAGGAGACTATTGAGCACTAGTACATGATACTTGGCACTAGAGGATTATTGTCCAGATAAGAACAGTAGATGGAATCCAGAGCTGATACAAACTGCTGGTCAACACTTGTAGCTGGGAAATTAAAAACATATGGACATCTTCCACTGTGACATCTTAACATTTAGAAAGCAAAGTCAGAGGCAATATTTATTATTTTGAGCTGAAAAAATATTCCTCGGGCTCCTGACAATGATAAGATTGAATAACGTGTCTACATTTTCTCACAAATAGGAAAGCATACTTACAATTGATGGGTAATATCCCACCAGCGTATGGCTCTTCATCCCCTCTGAACCCTGTAAAATAAGGACAGTTAAGATCCAACCCAAACGAGTATGATATTTATTTCTTATTTGTAGCAGTGTTGGTACCAGGATATGAGAGACACAAGGTAGGTTAGGTAATATCTTTTATTGGACCAACTTCTGTTGGTGAAAGGCACAAGCTTTGAAGATTCAGACAGCACGTTTCTTCAGATCTGGAGAAAATAACCAGAGTGTCTGAACTCAATACAAGGGGGACAGATTATTGAGCATAGGTGTACCACACATACTATAGGAGGCCACTTAAAATGATGTGGACAATCAAGGGTTAGCAGACAGTAGTGTGTGTTACAAACTGTTGTAGCAAGCCATAAAACCAGTGCCTCTATTAAGTCCATGGTTTTTAGTTTCTTGCAGAGTTAAGAATGTTTGTCCCCAGGCTCATCTTTTGAGGGTGCTATGCAGGTTTCCTTTGAGGATGAGGACTGATTTTTTTATTATATTTATTCCAGGTTTAATTGCTAAATAGGACTTACTCCTCACAACCACAGCAGCATTGGTTGACACCTGCCCATGGACATTTGTTGCAACTGCTGTATAGGTAGCAGTATCATCAAAATTAGCTCTGTGGGGGAAAGAGGAAAATAAAGTACTGTTAATATAAACAACATTCATAAGTAAAGATCATAATCATTTACACTACAAATCAAAGGGTTCCACTCAAAAACAAAGACGACCAGATTCTTTTCTAAACTCATTTGGGGCAGGAGGGCAACCAGGTGTTAATGACTCCCTAATTGTCTGCCTCAGTCCCAGCCCTGTCACAGGTAAGAGCCCTGAGGGGGCTGTAGAATCATAAGCAAGCTAGCAATGTTCTCCAGGGAACCATCCCCCAGATGGGGATAGCTGGAGTACATCACACTCTTCTCTGACCATTCTTTCTCCCCACTTCTCTTACACACATCCTTCACATCTTCCCCCGCCACCCCCTGTCCTCCAAACCCCCTGTGTCAGGTATTGAGAGAAGAGAGGCGTAGCAAACAATTACATCAACACTATCCCTGCTGGAATTCCCCTTCTACAGAGTTATCCCCAGCAGGGAATTGCAAGCAGTTTCTTTTCCCTTTGAACCACTCAGGCAGGACACAGGTAACAGAGCAGTCCAGGGAATCTGGCCTAATATTGCTGTAGACAAATGGGTTTGACCTGATATTTTTTTATTTAAGAAAAGAAGTTGATTAAGGAACAACCAACTTTTTATTTTTTTAAAGGATCATTAGTGCAGCAGCACAGGGTCTAATGGTGGAATAACTCACTCTCCACAGCCTTCTTTGATGTGGAACTGGCAACATATGTTTGCATATCTGTTTGTGTTAAGATTCCAGTGCAAACTTCCACATCCAAGGACAATGGGCCTGATTCTTTTTACACCAGAGTCAAACAGATGTAACTCCACTGAAGTTACACTGATTTAAAGTACGGGAAAAGAGAATAGCTCTTTATATTTTGGTTGCGTAAAAATAAATGTTAGGTAAACATACATGACACGTGTGTATGTTCGTGATCTGAGGACTTCGTGCAATTTAAGGGAAGCTCTATCCATTTATTGGAGACCATGACTTTTAAGAAGCAACACTGCACATGCCTGCACTCACTTTCATCTCAGAAGAATAATTTGGTATCATCCTGGAAACTCTCAGTTGAAATGGATAAAAATATGGCTACAAGATTATGGACACCAAGCATGAAAGAACAGAACAAACTGAAAAAAGTTTGATGCAAAATACCCAAGAGGATTGCAGACTTTGTGGCATACAGCATGGGTGTTGCTAAAGTGGCAGGCATGTCACACACTTGCTTTTGAGCCTTATCATATACTCTGGACTGTGACATGCCACAAAGTGGAACAACCCATCCTGCTTACTTTCAGAAATTTACCTTTTGGTGAGAGTAAACATGACCAGGTGATGGATCAAGCAATGGAATTACATCAGTACAAATGTACAGGGCTCATGGCTCCCCCTAAAGGCAGATCTCCAGCCATGCATTTTACAAAACAAAGTGGCAAAATACAGAGTATATTTTACAATTAGTTATCAAAGACACGATAACAAACCCTGAGATTGGCTTGTGTTACTACAAAAGCCTAGGATAGTGCCCTAAACATGACAGCACTGTAGGGTTACTATGAAATATTGTACCCTGGGAAAACAAATTAAGCAAATTTTAACTCACAATAGATGCTTTTTTAAAACACGCTCAAAGAATAAACCAATAATTGTTCACAAATCTATCTAAAGTTTAACTGATCCTTTGCTATGGTAGCTGATCTCATGAAACTTTGGATATGAATTCTTAGCTTGTTAATATGATATTTCTGTACTTAGGCTTTATAAAAAACACAGAAAATATAATATAATGTAAAATAACATTAACAGCATGATGCAAAATGTCAAATGCAAGGAAAACCTGCAGTAAGTTTTCCACTCTCTTCTTAGCCCACCCAATAATGCCTAAGTATTGAAACATACATGGGATATGGGATTCATACTCTTTTCACAACCCACCACCACAATGCCTTGGTACAATGAAACAAGCAAAAATGAACTGAGAGCTTTAATCTTAGATTTCTTTGCTTTCATTATTATTAAATATTTTTACTTGACTTAGTACTGATAACTGGAGGATCAAATGATAATATATCAAAAGGATAACTTTTAACCGAATACCACTTTAAAAATAGTGGACAAGGCATCTTTACTCAGCATTTGCTTTCGTACCTATTAGTGCAGAGGTTCTCAAACTTCATTGCACCGTGACCCCCTTCTGACAACAAAAATTACTACACGACCCCAGGAGGGGGGACTGAAGCCTGAACGCACCAAGCCCTGCTGCCCCGGGTGGAAGGGGGCAAAGCCCGAGACCTGCTGCTCTGAGCAGGGGTGGGGGCAAAGTTGAAGCCTGTAACCTGAGCCCACTGCCAAGGGCTGAAGCCCTTGAGCTTCGGCCCTAGGCAATGGGGCTTGGGCTTTGACCCCAGGGCCCAGCAAGTCTAAGCCAGCCCTGGGGTCCCAATCCACTTTGGGGTCTCATCCCACAGTTTGAGAACTGCTGCATTAGCATGATGTATTTGATTACTGGTAACCAATTAACAAACATTGCTAGTTATCAAAATTACACAGAATTCAGAACCATGATTTATTTAGTTACCACCATGTGGCATGCAAGTAGTCAGGAAACTGTAGAAATGTCTTTCTTAAACTGATATAGGGCCCCATCCTGCCTTCCTTTTCCACTCAAACCTTTGTTTGACTCAAATCAGAATGCAAGAAATGCAGGATTGTTTCCATGAAATAAGAAAGCACAGTAAGATGTTTGATTATTTTTTCAAACGAATATATAAACATGCTGTCTCAAATTCTGTTATCAGTTACGCATGTGAAACCCCATTGAAGTCAATAGGCTTATTCTGGCATAAGTGATAAGAATTTGGCCCATAGTCAGTTTCTCCTGTTTGTGAAAGTCTTTCACAAAACATAAGGACAGAAAAACATTTTTAAAAGTAGCATAATGTGATTTAAAATCAGTAGTGCTGGTAGGGGATTTAGGTGGGTGAAGTATTTTTACTACTAATAATTAGAGCTGGGCAAAAAAAATTGTGCAAATCATTTTTTCCATTGGTTCCGCCAAAACAACTAACAAATTCAAGTCAATTTTGGCAAACTGCACCAAAGACAAAAAAATTAAAAAATGTCAAACTGGCTCCTTAAGGATTTCTGACACAAATCGTTTCAACTTTTTGTTTTTTTAAAGATGATTTATTTTGGAATTTCACTTAATTTTATTTTAAAATATACTTTATAAAGGTAAACAACCTTGGAAAATAAACATTTAGGGTCAAAGAAATGTTTTGCTTGAGCCCCAAAACAAAAATTTTCAACTTTTTCATTATGCCTAAAAAATTGAATACGGTTTATTTTAGATAGATCTAAACTGTTTTTTGTTTTGTTTTTTCTTATTCAGCAGTTCAGCCACTAATCCAAAAAACTGGTTATTCACATAGCTCTACTAATCATTCTATTTTTGAAACTGACTAGATTTCAAGCTGACAAATTTCCATTAGCATCTGATGAAATGGGTTTTAGCCCACGAAAGCTTATGCCCAAATAAATTTGTTAGTCTCTAAGGTGCTACAAGGACTCCTCGTTGTTTTTGCTGATACAGACCAACACTGCTATCACTCTGAAACCCATTAGATTAGAGTAAATCTATACTTTGAGCTGGGGGTGCAACTCTCAGCTCGAGGAGACATACCCGTGCGAGCTGTGATTGAGCTAGCACACAACAATTACAGTGTAGCCACGGCTGCACAAGCAGTGGAAGGGGCTAGCCGTCCTGAATACAATCCGGTCCAAGACAGTAGGGATGTACCTCAGGTGACTAGCCCCGCCTACTGCTCACCCTGCCACAGCTACGCTCTATTTTTAGCATGATCGCTCAATCAGAGCTACAGTGGGTAAGTCTCCTCGAGCCAGAATTTACACCTCCAGTTCAAAGTGTAGACATACCCTCCGTGGAGGGAAGCTATTTGATCTTATGGTTTCTTCAGTTTTATGTAAACATGCAAAAGACATGTATATTAATATAAATATGAGTGGTTTGTGACACAATCTGGCTTCTGTGCCATTTGTAACTTGAAGATACACATTTGCTAGAGACTACTACTTTGAAATTTGACAATTGACCATTTCCTGCTAAGTCTCTCTAATCTAGCTCTGCCTCATACGAGTTACACCAGTTTAGGATTCGTCTACATTGCAAGTGAAGGTGCGATTGCAACTCAGGTAGGCATAACCGTGCTACCTTTAATCTAGTTAGCATGGCTAAAACTTTAGCAGTGAAGGCACAGTGGCATGGACTTAAGCATGGACTGTACATGCCGGCCCCTGATATTGAATATCAATACATACACGTATCAGAGGGGTAGCCACGTTAGTCTGAATCTGTAAAAAGCAACAGAAATCTCCCATATGGGTAGGCTATTCCATAGCGGTCCCCTGAATGGTTTATTGTGCCTTCTTCTGAAACATCTGGTATTGGCTGCTGTTAGAGACAGGATACTGACTAGAGGGACCAGTGGCCTGATGCAGTATGGCAGTTCCTATGTTTGAGAATTGTGAAATGGGATTTGGGGAAGTGCACATGTTACAATTACAATGCAACCATCAATACCATTTGTCTTTACTACTCAAGACAGAACTGAAACTCAGGTCCCCTAGCATAAGACCCCTCCAAGCAGCCAGAAATCAACAGTATATGGAAAGGGTTGTGTCATGTGAATCCAGAAGACCTGATAAATTGACCAAAGTATGTCTTAAAAATCTGAGACGGAGCTATGAAGGTGATCTGGGTTACTGTACAGGTTGTGAGTCCTCTGAGATAAACGGGGAAATGAAAGTTTCCAGTTACAATTTTAAAATGAGGTAATACTCTGTTTTTGGCATCTCAAGAATTTTTCCATTTGGGGACAAGAAACACACAGTATATTCATAGGAATAAATGTCACACTTGCATCATAAGTAAAAGTTCACTACATAAGCCTCGGAGAAGTGCTAAGAAGACAGCCAAGAAATTCCAAAGCCATTTTAAGTGACCACAGCTCTGATGACATGTAGCTCAGCACTTTGGAATGGACAGCTGAGAAGAGTACAGAAGTGGCTAGGTAAATAATCTTAGCTGTTCTATATCCAAAAAAAAATTATGCACATTTCACATAGTTGGATCTTCCATTTTAAGGACTATACCACATCTTTTTTCTCCTTCCAAATACAAGAAATAGGCAGGATTTTTTGTATTAAAAAAGTATAGCTAGTAATATTCAAAGTGAGCTTTTATTTCTTGCATGTCTAAGGCCCTACTTAACTTGCAATATTGCAGAAATTGCGTATTCTGCAATATTAGGCTTACACTGAATTTTGACAGTGGGAGCTATGGGAGTAGTGTGGGGCTGACATCAGAGCCCTGGGCAGCCAACAGCGGGAGCCTGCACTCTCAGCCTCGGGTGGCCAACAGCAGAAAATAGCTGGAAAGTAATAATGGACTTTATTACTGCAAATAACAAGGTCCATTATTACTTTTCCACAATTTTCCATGGCTTGCCCGTAACTCAGCTGCAATTTCTGACGATCATCTCACAATTCAAGAAGAGCCTTGTGCATGTCATATTTCTATAATTTTCATACAGTCCACGAACCAGTTTCACATCAAAGAAAGTGGTAATAAAGTAGCTTAGTGGAGTTTAGAAATGTTAGTTCAAGAAAGTGTATGCCTCAGAGTTAGAATCAGTCATGAAGCTGCCCCAATTAGACAGGATCTTTTTGGCAAACAACTGTTAAACAAGGAAAAGGTGAATGATTCAGGGAGCAGTTGGGAAGCTTCACTTGGAAAAGACTGTATTGGCAAAGAATAGGAAAGATGATGTGAGTGTATGGGTGCCAGGGGTTAGCTGTTTGGATAAGTGTGGGTGTGTCTGGGTGAGTATGTATGGGCGTAGGTTCCAGTGGGTGGTGGCTAGGCAAGGGGGAATACCAGAGGTGAGTATGAGTGCATGTGGGAGCCTTTGTGGGTGCCTATGGATGACTCTATTGGTGCGTCTGGGTGAGTGAGAGTAGGTATGGATGCCTATGGGGGAGTGGGTGGCTGTCTAGGTGAGTGCGGGTGCCTGGCAGGGAGGAGAGGGGGGAAATGTTTGGGGAGGGGAACAATCACCATCCCGACCAGGCACCAACACACTCACCATATTCCCCTAGACCAGGGATCAGCAACCTTTGGCACGCAGCCCACCAGGGTGCTTACCCTGGCGGGCCGTATGCCAAAGGTTGCCAATCCCTGCCCTAGACATCCATCCACTGGCACAACAAAAGGCACTCAAAAAACTACTCCACTCACCCCCATGCTACTCACAAGCAACCATACCCACATTCCTGCACACAGCCACCTGCTGGTACCAACAAAGACACCCAGGTACAATCACACTCATCCTAGGTGCCAACCCACTGGCACTCAGTCACCCAAACATCACCCACTAGCAACCACTCTCACTCTCCCAAATAGCAATGGAAGAGTTTCCATTCTCACTGCTGGACAGGCTGCCTGCATCTCTCACCAGCCTTCTCTAGCACCCAAAGGGCCAGGACAGATGGTAGGAGTCAGCCATGATCTGTGCCCTTAAATGGTGTGGGAAGTGGCCAGCAAACTGAATTCTGAAGTTGGGGGAGGAGGCTAATAGTCTCCTTCCTCATCCAGGGAGGTGAGTAAAGAATAAAGGTAAGTGGGGCAGAGCCCGGTGGCTATTATGGAAGTCTCCTAGACAGGAATAAATTTCTCCACTACCCACTGGAGCCAAAGGAAGGAGGTTAGGGATTAGCTATCCCTTTCTACAGAAGCCAAAGGTTTGGGGACAGGGCTTCCTGCTTCAAGCAGAAGGAATGGTGCACTATTGTTCCTCTACTTCTGCCTGGCCTACCTCAGGACTATGGTTGATGGCTGGAGACAGGATGAGTGAGTGAATATTTTGCCAGCCAAATATCACACACAAATGTTCAAACTGTTTGAATGTAGCCTGAGGTCATATTTTTGGTAAATTAGTAAGGACAGATGAAAATATTTAGACACTTATTTTTCTGTCTTGACACCATTGTTCCGTCCACACTGTTGTTGCTTTTTTTAAACTTGTACCAAATCATTATTATATGTGAAATACAGTATTGCAACCCTGTGTCCCAGCTGAGGTTTAGTGAGGGGTGGTTGGGAGTGCTGACACTTGTTATGACATTTGTTTTTCTTTCATGCCAGACTTTTAAACCATTATGTCTTGAAGACAATTTAAAATTAGATAAAAATATATTTTCAGAACTTAAAACCTTTTAAAGAAACCACTGGACTCTCCCATCCCCAATCACAGGAAAACAAATAATACAATGAAGAGCTAAGGTAAGCAAAACATGACAACCTGCTAACAGAGCCAAATACCATCCATTGAATTTTCTAGCCACAGCTAGCTAAACTTTTCTAAGCTTCAAGCTCTGATCAAAGAGTTGCTGCCATGATGGAATAGACTATTAAAGAAGAACAAACTGTTCCACTCTAGCTGCCAGAATGATGAGATTAAAATATTATAATAAGGGTTTTTTTTAAATGGATACTTTTTCCCTGCTCACTTACCTCTAGATTTGTTTTTTTCTTGCTGACAGTTTGGGTGCTATGATAGAAATCCCTACCTTTTCATTACACTGACCCCATACTCAGACTACTTAGGAAGTATCTTGCCACCTAAACCAAAGTAACAGCTAAGCAGAAGTTAAGTGTGCTGTATTTCGTTACTATTTTGTAATACATTATAGAAATTTCCAGATGTATTTGCAGGAAATTATTTCAGTTAAGAGTCATAATCTAAATAACATTCTGTTATTCATCAGAATAAGATACCTGTGTATCTCCAGCATATGCACTCCATATTTGCTTTCGATGCTGTACTTTCCTGGTTCACTTGCAGGCGAAATCAATTCCTCATTTTTATACCTAACAATCAAGAAAAAAATAAAGAAACCACAGCAAAAGTTAGAGATTATTCCATCAGGATGTCATGTATTAATAACTGAGCTCTCTCTGTATACATGAATAGATACAGAGAGCCTGACTGTGACCTGCCCATACATGGTCATGCAATGGAATGAAAGGAAGTAGTTATAGTTTGGGCACGGGTGTGCATGTGAAGCTACACACCCACAGTGTGCTGAACTCCCCAGCACACCAGCCATCAGAGCTAACTGGCAAAAACAGAAGTAAGTTGCATCCTCATTAGCTCTACAAGTCACTTCAGGTAAAAAAGGGGAGCAGCAGGGACAGAACTGTGACTGAGGCAATTCTCTCCCTGGGCTTCCCCTAGGACAGAATTTGCCACCCCCTTCTAAGGACTGAACCTTACAGTTCAGTCTAGCCCACAGAAATATTACAGCTATCTCTCTGCATATGCTGTACACATAGATAATATATGAGGTTAGGTACCATAATGTTATTTTTTATTCACATGAGCTAAGGTTGGCCACATAACTCAGAAGTAGTGAAAGCCCCAAACAGGGTGTGCATGGTCATTACTGCCACATGCAAACAAACAAAATACCTTGCACAATAGGGCAGGGAGGTGATGGGGCAGGTGAGGGTTAGAGGGTGGGCTGAGTGCAGAGAAACTATGCTCCTAATTTGGTTCTCACAACAGTCTGATATCTTCATCGGAGTGACTTCTGATTTATATTGCTATAAATGAGGTCAGAATCAGGCCCGATTAGTACACTGAGTGCAAAATTCTGCCCTCTGATTCACAGAGCAGCAATTTTGGGTACCTAGCGAAGAGGAGACAGCTGGCTTCATGCCACTTATATGCCCCTCCTCAGTCCTGGGGGCCAAACTGATCCCTTGCATGAGTTAGAACAACTTGCACTGCTAGATAATGGTCCCCTAAGGGCTGCTATACTGGCCATGATCACCTGAGAGCATGATGCTCTAATTTTGCTCTTCCCACTCTGGCATGCCTCCAGCCCACCATGGCACACACACCCCCCATGCTGGGGAAGGAGTGCCAGGAGGGGTTGGCATATGTCTGGCTATTCCAAGCCTAAACCTGCTCATGATTCATCTGTTCTAGGGGAATCCTCAGCTGCTGGCTGAAATCACTTTGAGTTCCCTTTGCACTGTTGAAGTGGTGCAAAAGAAACTTAAGGGGAGCTGAGAATCAGACCCCAGATTTCTAGCTCGGTCAGTGGTAGGGGATGTTATTTAGAAGTAGGGAATAGATATTTTATCAGCTACATTTCCAATTTTTAAAATATGTGCCTGAGTTTCTTTCTAGTGTTGAAAATGGCTATGTCATCCAGGATACCGTCTTTATCATTTTAAATCCACCAGTTAACCTGACTCTTCTTTTCAATAAGGATTTCTAGAGACAAAGAGATCCAAACTTCCTTCTGTTGACAAAAAGGACTAAAAAACTGTTTTGAATTGTAACCTAAGAATAACATGATTCTCAGATTTTTGTGGAAATTTGCCTCTTACTGCGGTTTCTGACTCTGGACAAGACACTCTGATAACTTACCCCAGCTAGAACACTTTTGGTGGTAAATTTCAAAGGTCAAATTCTCCTGCCAGTTGTACCATTCTAATCCCATTATTTTCAGTGAGGTTACACCATATAACTGAGGCTACGTCTACACTATGGGGGGGAATCGATTTCAGATACGCAAATTCAGCTACGGGAATAGCGTAGCTGAATTCGACGTATCTGATCCGACTTACCCTGCTGTGAGGACGGTGGCAAATCGACCGCCGCGGCTCCCCCGTCTATGGCGCTTACTCCTACCTGGGCTGGTGGAGTACACGCGTCGATTCGGGGGATCGATTATCGCATCCTGACGAGATGCGATAATCGATCCCCGAGAGATCGATTTCTACCCGCCGATCTGGGCGGATAGTGAAGACAAGGCCTGACAGAAGAATGCACTCCCATCTCATCAGGCATAGACATTCTCTCTCGCTTTCCAATGTTTAACTACTAGATACTATTGCCTTGGTATAAAACATCAAAAATATTTACCATTTAGCAAAACTCAGTGTATTTTACCACTTGCTAGGTTATCATCAGTTAAATTAATGACCATTTTTGTAGTCAGCATTCTGAAATATATATTTACTTGATACACTACAAAAAGTTTGTCCTTTTGCTCCTTTAACGGCAGTATCCACAACTACTATCCAGCATATCTATGAGAATTACAAATGGAAAACAAACTTAACACCGGTTTTAGAGGGCTGGAAAGGCCTCTTACCATTGTACAACAGGGGTAGGAAATCCTTGTACAGTGAAGTAAAGCCTCACAGACATTTTTTCCCAAACAGTATGAGACCTCAGTCGTACCAAAATTTCAGGAGCTCGACTTATACTTTCTTCAATGGTGTATCTTTCCAAGGCCATTTGTTCTTCTACCTATTACACAGGATAGAAACAAAAAGTGGAGAGAAGGAGCATTATCTAGCACCAGCGTCAGAGATTTAGTCTGAAAGCTATACGCAAATATTAACAGATGCAAACTACTGTTGGGCTCTGTGAAGCATAGTTCTAAACTGCAGTGGAGTTTACAGTTCTGCTTGGAAAGGAAATAAAATTGTTCTGTTACAGTACCATCCTTTGTATGGTAACTCTATCCAGATGTTCTCTTGCAAGGAGCCTGGCTGAACGAAGCTCTTCTTCCACATCAGCCAAATTGGCGGCAAACCGGATCCTCCTCTCTTCACTTATATCAGACTTTTGCTCATGAGTCCTGCATGGTAAGAGAAAACTATTTAGGATTAACCCAGCATCAAGGCTTTACTATTGTCACTGATACACAGCAGGCAGATGAGGGCTTGGAAGTCCTATTAGCAGCATTACACAGATGCAGATTCTATAATGTGCACTATTTCCCTCTCTCAAGATCTCAAAACAAACGTCTTAAAAACTGCAAATGAATGAGTCTTCTGTTTGCTTTCTCTTCCCTGTGAGCATATGAGGCCAAATCTTTAGTGGGAATTACGGTAACTGGAATAGTTCCATTGAAGTCAGTGGAGCTGTGCCAATTTATCCCAGCTGAGGAGGTGGCCCAGGGATTCTGCAAATAGAGTTAAATTATAAGAACAAAATCTACAGAAATCAAATAGCAAATTTCCTAAGACTATCCAGCCTCTTTCCTTCCTTTCTCTACCCTTTTGTGGTTTGTATATTATTGGTTTCCCCTCTCTCTGTTTCTGTTTGTTCTTATTTGTATCATTATCTATATCCCATATTTTGTAGAAGATAAGAATCACCAATATGCACTTTCACTCTATGCATCCGAAGAAGCGAGGTTTTTACTCACAAAAGCTTATGCCCAAATAAATCTGTTAGTCTTTAAGGTGCCACCAGACTCCTTGTTGTTTTTGTAGATACAGACTAACACGGCTACCCCCTGATACTAATCACCAATATGTAACTCTAAGATCTGGAGATCAAATCCTGGGCCATTACCCTGTTCAAATACCAAGGGGGTAAAAAGCAGTAGTATCCTCCCCTCAGGCAGTGAAGCACACAGTAGAGGATGCCTCAGCCCAATGGCTGAAGCAGTTTCTGCAGGCTCCCTACACAGATCCTCTGGCCTACCCATAGGCATCGACTCCGAGGGTGCTCCGGGGCTGGAGCACCCATGGGGAAAAATTAGTGGGTGCTCTGCACCCACCGGCAGCCAAGTTCACCGCCCCGCCCCACCCCCTCCCACCCCACCTCACCTCCTCCCCTGAGCGCACCATGTCCCAGCTCCTCCGCCTACCTCCCAGCTCTTGCCACCGCCAAACAGCTGTAGCAAGCTCCGGGAGGGAGGGGGGAGGAGCAGGAACATGGCGCGCTCAGGGGAGGAGGCGGGGCCGGGGCAGGGATTTGGGGAAGGGGTCGAATAGGGGCAGGGAGGAGGCAGAGTTGGGGCAGGGATTTTGGGGAAGGGGTTGGGAGGAGGCAGGAGAGTGTGGGGCAGGGGTGGAGTCAGGGTGGGGCTGGGGGCAGAGGGGGGGATCAAGCACCCACCGGCGCCATTAGAAGTCAGTGCCTATGCTACCCTCTGCTGCTGTGTAAGGAGCTTATGCAAAATGAGTCCACACACCAATCAATCAGGGAACGTGTACCAGCATCTAGGCCAAGAGACCCTTCAAAACCATCAGAGCTGAGGCTGGATTGTCCCGTAAGTGAATTAGGGAGGTACAGCAATGGCTGGAGACATTTTGCCCATATAAGCCAAGAGTGAGCATAATGCCTCCAGGTCATAGAATCATAGAATATCAGGCTTGGAAGGGACCTCAGGAGGTCATCTAGTCCAACCCCCTGCTCAAAGCAGGACCAATTCCCAACTAAATCATCCCAGCCAGGGATTTGTCAAGCCGGGCCTTAAAAACCTCCAAGGAAGGAGACTCCACCACCTCCCTAGGTAACGCATTCCAGTGTTTCACCACCCTCCTAGTGAAATAGTTTTTCTTAATATCCAACCTGGACCTCCCCAACTGCAACTTGAGACCATTGCTCCTTGTTCTGTCATCTGCCACCACCGAGAACAGCCGAGCTCCATCCTCTTTGGAACCCCCCCTTCAGGTAGTTGAAGGCTGCTATCAAATCCCCCCTCATTCTTCTCTTCTGGAGACTAAACAATCCCAGTTCCCTCAGCCTCTCCTCATAAGTCATATGCTCCAGACCCCTAATCATTTTTGTTGCCCTCCGTTGGACTCTTTCCAATTTTTCCACATCCTTCTTGTAGTGTGGGGACCAAAACCAAAACAGGACCGACCCTTGGGGCACTCCGCTTGAAACCGGCTGCCAACCA